CCTTTGTATCCCCAGTCCTGGCACCCTGGAGAGTTGGCCTGGGACTCAGGAGAATCTGAATTCAAATTTAGCCTCAGACACATACCTGCCTTAAGCAAGTCAAAAACCCCAGGGCTGTAGGGTAATAATAATAACAATAACAACAACAACTGATAAATACTTGCAAAGTGTCCTTGTATCCATGCAACTGATAAATGCATAGCATGGTTTCACATATATGTATGTATGTGTGTATATACCTCACAGCAACTCTGGGAGATAGGTGCTACTGTTATCTCCATTTAACAGATGAAGAAACCGAGGCAGCCACAGGTGAAGTGAATTTGCCCAGCGTCACATGGCTAGTAAGTGTCTGAGGCTGCATTTGAACTCAGGGCTTTCAGACTCCAGGTTCAGAACTCTACTGAGTATAAATTCAAGAGAAGATGCTAACCAGCATCGGTAAAGGGAGTTCACTTATCTGGGAATTTCCTGTATCAATAAAATCAGAGGTCCACCCCCTCTCTCCAGCCCGAAGCACGGTGCCTGGTACACTGTAAGTTTTTCTTAGAAACGTTTGTGCATGACTAATATAAAAGCTGTTGTTGTTGTTATTCAGTGAAAGTAAGTTCGACCAGTTATATCAATCACATAATTGCAGTAACACTTTCCAAGATTACAATGCTGTCCAAGCCTAAGGGAGGGTAGAGATCTCTTAACTGCTAATAAGGCAGAAAACCTATAACCCCCTTTCCTCTTTGCAGGAGGGAGGGAAAAGCATTTTCTCGGAGTGAAATACATCAATTCCGTTTCCCTGATGAAAGAGTCTTGGGTAGGCATTGCGTCCGGGGTGGGGTGGGGGACGGTAGAAGAGGAGGTCCGCAGAAGCTGCCCTGAACAAAGCAGGGTACCAGCACCAGCGGCCCGCGAGATGCTCCCAATGGGAGAGCGGTGACACCTCTGACCTAATTTAGTTCCTGCAGCTGACACACCCACGCACAGACGACACACTGCCACAAGCGCACGCACCCACTCCCCCCCCCCGCCGCTACTTGCTCCCGTTTTCAGGGCCCGGGGTACCCAGCGACCCTAGGCCGACGAGGGGCAGAGCAACAAAGGCGCGCGTCCCCTCGCCCAGAGTCATTTTCTCGGGAATTCGCCGTCAGAGAATGCACCTAGGCCAGGATCCCGGTCGCCTTGGGCTGGCCCAAAGCCTTCCGGAGCCCACCGGCTCCCCGGGGCCTCCCACCTTAAAGCGCTATGCAAACGTCAGCTCACTGCGTGGGCACCCACCACCACCCTCATCCAATCCACCAAACGTGTCAAGCGCCCACTACGTGCAAGGCACAAAGACAAAAACGAAACGGCCTCTGCCCCAAGAAGCTTATAGTGGCTCCAACGAACACACACACATAAAATGCTCTATTTTTTAAGTGGGGGAAACCACTAAAAGCTAGAAGACCGCCCCTCGGGGGATAGGATTACTGTACTTTAAGGGGGAGGGGGAACCAGTGGAAAAGAGAGAAACGCAGTTCCCCAGACCCTGGGCCGATCTAAGGCTCAGAAACAGCCGTTTTCTAGGAGCAGCAGTCTGCAAGGCGCCCCAGCGCTGGCCCCTTTGGTCAGGGCTGGGCAGCGCTAGGGTGGCGTAAGCGGGGGGGGGGGAGTACGGCCTTGGCCTCGCCCGAAAGGCCAGTTTCCCTGATCTGGGGAGGGCTGCACCGAAGCAGCTGGCGCCGCGAGGAGCCCAACCGGTTTCCAGGGCGCCGGCACTTCGCACCCGTGCCCCTCCGCCTTCTTTTGCCCGGGGCGCGCACTTACGTACCCCACGATGGAGATCACTATGGCCGCGACCACCATGTAGTTGGTCTGGTAGTAGAGCAGGTTGCTGACCACTCGATTGTTCCATTTAGAAATGTCCCTGAAGTCGGGGCGCGCGAAGCGGTCGGAGCCCGGGAAGAAGTCGTCCCAGGCGCGGAGCGGGGGCACTTGGAAGTCCATGGTGGCCGGAGCTCGGGCTGCGGCTGAGACAGGGACTCGGCAATCCGGAGGGGCGGGCGCTGGTCAGCTGAGCAGGGTTTAAGCACAGGCGCCCGGCTTCAGCTGCGTCGGCTCCGTGGTTGGCGAGCTGAGAGAACGAAGTGCGCGCAAGCGGGAGGGCGGGCTTCTGTTCTGGCGTCTCTTGGCTCTAAGCTGTCTTGTTGGCTAGTAAGGAGGGGCAACTGGGTGTTTGGAGGAGAAGAGCAAAGAGGGAAAGCAAGGCACCCCCCGAGTAAATGAAGTGGTAGATGCCTCCATCTCCTTTTCGTACGCACCCCGTAAGGGGTGCTTGAATATTTAATATAGGGAGTGTCTCAGCTACGAGCAGCTGCCATGCAGGAAGATGTACGATGAGATGGAAAGGGATGGGGCGGCCGGCTGGTGGAGGATGTGACTTTTAAAAATAAGACGTCACTAAACCCCCTCCCCACCGCTGCCACATACACTCAAACCATACTACCCCCCCCAAAACACACATCTGCGCTGAATTTAGATGCCTCCCAGTTTCTCATAACTCAGGGATGGGAAACATTCAGAAATGGGAAAGGAGACGAAGCAGGATTCTGAACTTCGATTAAATATCCCTTAGCACAGAGCCTGGCACACAGTAAGTGCTTAATAAATGTTTGTTTCGGGCATTGTCTGATTCTACAAGAATAAGACAGATGGTCACTTTAGTTGCTAGCCAGTTCTCAGTGAAGGGGCAATTTGCAAAAAAGAACGAATGCCTGTAATGAACGGTAGTGGTTTCAGTTTTCTCAACGATGAAATGGGAATAATCCTTGCACTAATATGTGAGCTGAAGCCTTTATGAACTTAAAAGGCTTGCATAACAATGATGATGACCATGGTGGTGGCTGAGATACGGGGGGGGGGGGGGGGGGGGGGAAGGGAAAGATTTGCTGGAGGCCTTGAGTTTGGCAGTCCCCTCCCCTTCTCATCTGATACCAAAACCTAATGCTGGAACTTTCCTAACAAGATTGGAGGCCTAACAAAGGGCTACAGAACACAGTAAGCACTTACTACTCAAACAACAAACTTTAATTATGTGTTTACTATGTTTCTTGTTCCACCCCCCCCCCCCAAGGCACTGTCTGATCTCTCATTTATTAGTGCTCTTTTTCTCTTCAAATTATAGAGCAGTGGCTATGGCAGGAGACTGGGAGTCAGGAAGACCTGAGTCCAAATCCAGCCCCATACACTTACTGGATGTGTAACCCTGGGTAAGTCACATAACTTCCCTCTGCCTCAGTTTCTTCATTTGTAAATTGGGGATAATAATAGTACGTACCTTACAGAGTTGTTGGAAGTGCTATATAAATGCTGTCTAATTCTGTATGACTTTATAAATACATTGTGTTTACTTACTTGTGTGCATGTTGTAATTTGCCCCCCAGAATGTTTGGTCCTTTCATTCTCAGCACCTTCCACCACGCCTAGCATAGAGTAGATGCTTAATACATGTTTCTTGACTCTGACAACCACCAGCCATGATTCCAGAGAACCAAGCCAAAGAATTCTGTCTGCCTTCTGAGAGAGGAGGGATGGATCATATGCAGAATGAAACACACATTCTTAGACATGGGTTATACTGGACTCTGTATGTTTGTTCCAAGGGTTCTGCTTGCTTTTTTCTTTTTCAATTGGGGGGGTGGTGGGAGGGAGAGAAAATAAATGCCAGATAATTTTTGAAAATAAAATTGAATTGAATTGATGCATTAGAAGCCAATAGTTCAAGGCCTGGAGGGCTGGGCCTGGAGTCAGGAAGACCTGAGTTCAAACCTGTCTCCAGTATTTGCTATCAGTGTGGCCCTGAGCAAATCCCTTACCCTTTATTTGCCTCAGTTTCCTCAAATGTAAAACAGGGATAATAATAGCACCTACCTCCCAGGATTGCTGTAAGGCTTGAATGAGATAATATTTGTAAAGCACATAGCACCAAGCCTGGGACCTAGTAGGCAGTAAATAAATGCTTATTTTTTTCCCTTTCCTTTGGAACATCACTTATCGTGTTATATATAGCATAGGAGGTGTGGACAATTATACACACCTGTAATATGACACATAGTATGTATGTGCAGTATGTAGCAATTGTACAATATGTGCTAAACTTCCTTATGTTACCTTTGAAAAATTAAATTCCTGATACTAGCTTGTTTACTTGGATTTTGTTTCTTTTTCTCATAAAGACAAGGTAGTGTGTTTTTGAAACCTTCTGGTTGTTTGGAGTCCAGATGAATAGGAGGTTTTGTGATCATTGCTGTTATTTATAGTACTAATCACCTCTACAGGAACTAGACTGGTTCCTGCAGAACTAGTAATAGAACTCTAGTTCCATATGACCAGTTCCCTCAGTTCCAAACATCCAAGTAGGCCCCTTATTTCTCCATCACTAAGTATTTCCATTTCATAATTGAAGTCATTAATCAAGTCTGTCATACTCCAGACAGCATGCTCAGAGGTGTAGGAAGAAACAGTTTTCATCCTAGGGAAGCTTACGTTCTACTGGGGCAAACAACACATAAAGTACTATGTTAAATGAAATTGTTAAGTTGACAACACAGGTAATAAGGTATAGCCGATGTGGTGGCCACTTTTAAGGCAGGCAGGCATGGATTCAACTCCCGGCTCCAAAACTTAACAGCAGTGTGACCCTGGGCAAGGAAAAAAGAGTCAGCTGAAGGTAAATGGATCACAGATAAAGAGCTGAAAGGGACCACTTAGCAGATGAAAAAGCCAAGGCTCAGAGTCTGACTGACTAGCCCAAAGGCATAACCATGGTGATTCCCCAAAGTTGGATTTGAACCCGAGACTTTCTGGCTGCAGTGACAGTGCCTCTTTCTGTTGTACCACTTGGTTCCTTTCAATGACTTTGAAGTTATGGGGGCCAATCCTCCTGTCTACAAAGGAAAAGGTTAGAAAGAAGAAGAACAGTACATATTTCTACAGCACTTCAATCAATTTGGTTCAATAAGAACTGAGTAAGCCCTTGCAAAGCAAGACACTGTGCTCAATGTGTGGGTACAGTGACAAAAAAGAAGAGCCAGCCCTTGCCCTCAAACAGCTAACATTCTACTGCATGGATACAAGTACACTTTGCAAGTAAGTCCAAAATATACACAAACAATTTGAAAAAGGAGAGAAGCCTAACTGATCTTCAAAACCTGTTCCTCAGCCCTTGGGGTGAGTTTTTCTGAGGCTCTCTGCCTGTTTATTCGAATAAAGCAGTTCCCAGAGGCAGGCTTTCAGGGAAGCTGAGGACTTGAAATCAGGTAAGCACATCCATTGTGCTTTGGCGATTCTACTGAGACTTGCCCAATGTTAACCCTGGTGATGGAATGCCCATTAGTACCCTGCAGGCCATGGTCAAATGACACCTTCCCTTCAGCTTTTCTATCAGGTCCTTTTCATCGTGATATGGAAAGGGCCCAAACACTCAAGACGAGTTCCAATATTTTCTTTATTTTCAGAGCTAAACTTGCTCAGAAACATGGATTGAATTTTCTGCATATTACCAAAGAACAAATTTAAAGAAGAATAAGAAGTCTATTTCTTTGTGATATAAGGTGGGTGTATGCTCTTGTAAGACATTTATGTCGATGCAGGTAGTCTAAATAAGGCTTATGGGAGGCACTGATAGATATGATCTGAGGTCTAGGTCATCCCAGAAGAGAGGAAGAAAGCCTGCACAATAGCTGGGGGTTTGGGAAGGTGGCAGAGGAGAGGAAGGCAAACCCCAAGCACTGCTGGACTGGACACTCTTTCCCAAGACTGCCAGAAATAGAATTACACCTATCTGTCACCGAAATATTTCTGGTCTAGGAGTACAATAAACTCAAAAAGCCACTTGAGGCAGAAGGGTACTCCAAGTTTACCGTGCAACTTGGTTCATTTCCACCAAACACTGGCTGCACAGGAGACTATCATAAATTGTGACTAGTGAGTAAAGCCACTTATCCAAGCAGACAACAAACAGAAGTTTGAAAAGTCACATAGATTAGATCAGAGGTTGGGAAATGATGACCCTTGGGCCAGATCTGAATCATTGCCTCTTTTTGTATAGCCTGCTAGGTAAGAATTCTTTTTTAAAAAATCATCTTACTTTTCTAAGTTCAGGAGCTATACGAAAACAGACAGGGGCCAGGATTTGGCCTATAGGCCATTGTGAGAAATAATTCATTTGGACCCCTACTATATCCCAATCAGTATTAATCAGTGTGATGTTCTACATAAATCATATAGGGATAGATAGTCTTATAGGGGGCCTAAACTTTAATGTAATGTTCACTACTTGTTTACCAAGTTATGAGGCTCACTTGTGCAATTACAAGCATGCTGACAAAGATACCTCCATCCTGTTTTACTCAAATTCCATGTCCAAACCTAGCATGGATGGGATGCCTTGATGCTTTGGAAAGTCCCCCAATTTATTTTTATATCTCCAGACCTCTCTCTCTTGTCCAAGATGAGCAAGTGACCATCTTATGACCACTCAGTCAGTGGAGACGCCCCATGCTTCACCCAACCCGTGACTCCCTTGCTAACATGTCATTTTTGGCCCTCAAGAGCAAGGTCTATCAACCAATGAGAGTCTGTATTTTACCATGCCTCTTTTGCAAGTATCAGAAGAAGGGGGCATCTCAGATCTGAGGTCCCCTCCATTAGAGGGGACCAGGAACCCTTTAATAAAGTATCACTGGCTCAGACTCTGCCTCAGTCTCTTTTATCATAGTTTGGACAGTTTTAATTCCCATACCACACTTTGCAAACCTCTGGATTAGACTATATTAGAAAATATACAGAGCAAATGAGTTGTTTAGATGGGAGGAAAATGAGATCTCAATTCAGTCAAGAGGTTCTAATTGTGGTGTCCACATCTCACCCAAAAGGAAATTCCTCAAGGTCTCTAAGGAAGCAATGTGGAAATCAGAAGGCACATTAAGAAGCCAGCTTCTCCTGTATGTCTCCAGCCTTCAAAGTCTTTCTCTCATCAAATGTCTAGAGTTGGCCCAGAAGAGAATCTAGAACTAAGAAATATCTCTTCTCTCTCAAGCACTCACACCAATGCATCCTTCATTAAGGCATATGCATAGTATATCAACATTCTCCCTCACAAAAACCCGGGTTGCAGTAACATGAAAGTATAATGTAAGTATAACTAAGCAAAACACCAAACATTAGATCTCTGTAACAATGTATGCCTGAGTACTTCATTAACGGCCTTGGGGCAAGGCTGGATGAACTTTTTTTGGAGGATTACTTTTCAGGTAGCAGTTGGACCGGACGGCATCTGGAGTCAATTCTTTCTCTTAAATGTTGTGATTCTGAAAAAAGAGACGAAAGTAAGGAAACTTTTGAGAGGAAAAATAAGATGTGCTAGGGTAAGGGATGACAGGAGGACTATTACCAGACTGCCCAAAGGGGTCTCTGTTACAAAAAAGGTTAAGAATCCCCAAGTTAGGGGCCAGGAGCTGGGAATCATTCATTTATTCAACATACCTTTATTAAGCACCTATTATAGGCAAGCTTTCACAGGAGACCATAAACTCTGGAAGTCTTACCTCATCTGAAAGGCTTCAATTACAGTCCCAGGGACTCACAGAGTCTGCCTTTGGGGGACCAGGTGAGCTAAGAACACAAAGGCTTTATCACCACCAGGCTGGATACTTGGCAATGAATTATTTGGCCATGGCAACCTATGTATGAAACAAAGAAAAATATAAAAATGGCTCCTTGTCTTATGCCCCCTTTTTGTTTCCAAAATGATGGCAGCTGAGCATCAGGAAAGAAAGCAGAAGGCACTAGAGTCCCAGGAGAGAAGCACACATGGATGGACTGTGATCTTCCTCTCTGGAGGGAGGGAGAACCCACGTGGTAGAGAACAGGCGTCCAGCGGAGTACTGGTATATAACTTAAGATAGTATGTCTCATTTGAGGATGGCATTGTCTTTAAAAACTATGAGGATGTGTTGTATCAACTATAAATCTGGGCTTTTGAGGCCCTGGGATAATGTTTAAATGGATAACAATATAAGCGAGAACTATACGTTGGTTAAGTATGGCCTTGATAATGAGAAAGTTATGAAAGTAAAAACAACTAAAAAACCTCCAAATTCAAACACCAAAGAGCAGGTCATTTGCCTACATTTGACTGGCTTTGGAGGAGGGGTCTGAGTTAGCCACTCACTATATAGCTTCATTTCATTTTTTCCCTAGTTGTTTCCCAAGGACTCTAGGTAGCCACTTCTTGGCCTTTCATCCTTATCTTTGGCCTTGCCTGCCCGGCAGAGTCTCTCCCTGTCACCTTCACCCTGTGATTTCAACGGTTCAAGAAGCTCTTGATAAGGAAACTCAGAATTTCTGGCCTGTAATTTGTAGTTTTGAAAGGTTAACTGGACACTGAGAAGTTGAGGGACAGCCAGAATGTGCCTGGGGCAAGACTTGAGCTGATTCCAGGTCTTCTTAACTCCAAGGCCATCCCTCAATCCACAAGTCAGGCAGCCTCCCTGACTAGCTCCTTTCTATATGATACAAATCCAAGGTCATAGGATTGTTTAAGTTAGTATTAGAAGGAATTTTTGAAAACAATAAATATACTAGACCAAAATCTCTCCTCTTCTTCCTCTCTGAAACCATTTCTAATCCTTCTAATTATTGGTGCTCTTTCTTTCCCTTTGACTCAATTTGTTATGTATCAGTCAATGTCAACAAGAATTTTTTAAGTATGTGCTATGTGCCAAGCAATGTGCTAGGCACCGGGAATGGAGAAATACAAAGACAAAAATGAAACCATTCTTCCTTGGAAAAACAATTTTTCCTTATCTTTGTGGCACCCCCCTCCCCCCCCCATAAGCTCCTTGAAGGCAGAGGCTTTGTCTTTGCATCCCTAATGCCTAGCAGAGTGCCCTGTATCTAGTAGAATCACAGTTGATGCTCATTAAATTGGATTGAATGTTTATTTAAGAAATTAAGTGATATTAAATATATCATCTTACAGAGAGCATTGATTTCCGTCTTCTATTTCAGGCATCAAATTCAGGTGACTTTTATCTTGACCATCACTGGTGTCAAATTTCAGATGATGTAACTCTGGTGTCACTAGTCAAAATACCATTGCATTGACTCAAGATGTTCCAAGACCATGGGGCTATGTCCACTCTCTGAGCCTGTTTCTTTAGCTGAGGAATTGATAGATACAGATGTATGTGTGTGTGTGTGTGTGTGTGTGTGTGTGTGTGTGTGTGTGTGTGTGTGTGTGTGTGTGTGTGTGTGTGTGTATGTATAGTTCAGATTTGCATGGCTCTTTAAAGTTTACAAGACTCTTTCCTCATAGCAATCTGAGGAGACAAGCAATACAAGTACTATTATTCCCATTTAAAGGATGATACAACTGAGATTGGGTGAAATGGGGAGAGGGATGAAGTGACTTGCTCTAGGTCACAGAGTAAGTGTTGAAACTCGTATTTGGGTTCCCTCCTACCACTATGCTCCCCTGCCTTTATAGAGGGATGAGGTTGGGGAGGTTGGATTGGATCCAGCCATCAATGAAACAATGAGGGGGCATTTACCGAGTGCCTCTGATGTTTCAGGAACTGTGCCAGGCTCTGGGTATACAAAGACAAAAATACAACAGCCCTTCCCTTCAAGGAGCTTTCACAAGCTGGAGCAGACCATGAGGTCACCCCCAATCCTCTCATTCTATAGATAAGGAACAGAAGTCTAGAGAGCTTGTGACTTGCCGATGGTCACAGACTGTGACAGAGCAGAAATTTGAAATGGAGTCCATGGACTCCAGATCTGTCCTGCACCGTGCTATCTCTCAATCCAAAGTTCTTTCCTCTAGGGTCCTATGTAGAACCTCCTCTAGAATAATTCCTCAACTGGGGGAGTGAGGAGGGAATAAGCATTTATATAATACTTACTATGTGCCAAGCACTTTACAAATATCTCCTTTGATCTGCACAGCAACCCAAGCTGAGGTTACATGACTTGCCTAGGGTCACACAGCAAGCTAGTATCTGAGGTCAAATTTGAACTCGGGTCTGCTTGCCTCTAAGCCTCTAGTTATGTCAACCACCTAGTTGTCAGGCAACTAGGCACTCTCGGTTACACGTTGGGTCCCCAGAAAGCAGCTAACTATTACTTTCCCAAGAGACCAGAAGTGTTAAATGCTGTAGCTCCTGAGCCCCTACTGGTGTGCTTCTCATTATCAGTCAGAATTTATTGAACTCTATTGCTTTAAAGAAAAAATTACTGAGGATATTTAGGGAGAATAGTAGTGACAAAAAATGTCCCTAAAATGGGGCATGAGACACAGTGGATAAAACACTGGGCCTGAAAACAGGAAGTCCTGAGTTCAAATCCAGACTAAGATATTTATTAGCGGTGTGATTCAGGGCATGTCACTTAACTTCTCTAGGCCTCAGTTTTTTCATCTACAAGGTGGGGATAATAGTAGCATCTACCTGCCAGTGTTATTGTAAGGATCAAATGAGATAATAATTGCAAAGTACTTAGTACAGTGCCTGGCACAAGTTTAGTGCTATTAAGTGTGAATTATTATTGTTATTATATTTCCCCCAAAGGTCCCTGGGGAGGAGAGTGGCAGTGCTCAAGCAGAAATTGGAATGGGATTCACCTGGCTGAGTTGGAGCTGGACTGTGCTCAGGAGCTCCTGACTTCTGCCCTGCATAAGCCAGAAGAGGTAGAGAAGATAGCTGATGACAGTGAATGAGGTAAGTCATTGAACATCTGGCCCTGATATAGGAATAGAAAACAGATCTTCCGGAAACCGAGGACAGAGTGGTTAAGCACATCTCAGAGAAAGCACACAGGACGTATGAGGAGGTAACTGTCAAGCCAGTGATCATTTAGTGGGACTTGGAACACTCCACGGAGCAAACGGAGCTGGTTGAATCCCACTGCCAGGAGATGAATGAGCAGTTTGGATCGATGGGCCAGAACCTCAGTTGCCTGAATGCTGCTGAAGAAAAGCATTCTGAGAAATATAAGGACAAGATAAAGATCCTATCTGACATACTGAAGGAGGCAGAAACCTGTGCTGAGTGTGCTGAAAGGTCAGCTAGAAACAACAATTGATTTGGGAGATGGAGCGTGTTCAGATACTGAAGTAAAAGGCCATCAGCAAAGAACTGGACCAAAGCCTCAATGACGTGACCTCTCTATAAATGGAAATGCATTAAAGAAAAGGCTTTGAATGACCTGCATGAGATCTAGAAATTGCCTCGTCCCACCCTTCCCCACTCACCTTCCTCCTATGGAGACTGACTTTGTACGATGCCAGGTTTCCTGAAGCAAACCTCAATATGCCCTTTATATCAGTTTTGCCAAATTATTTCTCTAGCTCTCTTCTTAAAGAGGCAGGTAGCTCAGTGGATAGAGCCTAGTGTCAGGAAGACCTGAGTTCAGATCTGCTCGACTGCTTCCTGTTAGTGTGATCCTGAGCAATTCACCTACTTTGTCTGCCTCCGTTTTCTCAACTCTAAAATGGGGTAGTAATAGCACCTACCTCCCAAGAAGTTGTAAGGATCAAATGAGGTAATATTTGTAAAGCACTTAGCATAGTCTCTGGCACATAATCGGTGCTTAATAAATGTTTATTTTCTTTCTGTAGTGATTCCACTTAAACTAGGGGCTGAGCACTTTTGGAAACAGCATTTAAAGGAACATGAGCACAATGCAAGCGTGTCTTTACAAGCATGTGGTATAAAAACACACGTGTGTACACATGTATATATACATGCACGATATATATATACATATATATATATATATATATATGTTTATATATAACTTTTTTTGGTCATAGTAGTAACCATTTGCCAAATAGTCCACATAATTTCCCAGTTCCTAGACACATTAGAATGATAACTCTTTCTGCATAAACAACATCCTCTCTCCAAAAAAATGGAAAGTGGTGTCAGCCTTTCTGAGAACTAAACATAGCCCAAGGAAAGACTCCATCCTAGGAAACCTCAATGCTCTGTACCCAGTACCAATCAAACCAGAAAGGTCATTCCAACGGTTTTCCCCCAAAAGAGTGCTCCTCAGCCTTTTAGCATTAAGGTATCTTGGAGTAGCTTTAAAAAAATTTTCTTATCAATCATAACTGAGCAAATTATATAAGAAGGCCTCTCTCTGTGTGACCAAATCACCTTCTTTCTCCTTACTCACAGAATGGATCACATGCCCCAGAAGTTGAGGCATCTACCCCTATTTCTACGCCAGCTCTTAAAGAAAATCACGGTTTTTTTGTTGGGGTTTTGTTTTTTCAGACACTAACCAGCCAAATGAAACTCATCTCATTAGCCATTCTTAGGTCCAAAGCTGCTGTTAAAAGTACCATTTCGTTGTGCTCCACTTAGAACTACAGAAATAATGAATAGCTTAGAAAAACCTTAAATTAAAAAAAAATTCTATTATTTGGCTGTCATCTGGCTTTTAGTGATTTCTGCTGTACAGGGGCTGACTTGAGTGCTGTTCTACTGCTGATTCTCCTCTTTTGGTGAGGTTTCTATAAGGTCTAAGTTGAGTTTGTGTTCTGTTAAATATTGGCTTAGAATTGCGCACTTCTCTGGTGTGGTCTTTTTGGGAGGCAGTCTGGAGAAAGAGAAACTAATAGTGGCAGTGTTTTTGCAATGAACAAAATGTTTTTCAAAGTAAAGAACCAGACCTTCAAAAAACCCAACAAAAAACCCCAAGGTCCTTGGGGAGAGTGAGCTTAAAGGACAATGGCAGTGAGGAACTTGGTGTAGAGAACACAGGTGGCCAAGGGGAACACTTAACCTCTTGCCCTGAAAGTCCTTTTCTCCCTTTGTGGACATCTCATGAGGTTCCCCTTAGGTTTAGCTCTCAGCTGGACTCCAAAAATTGTTATCTTTCAGTCTATAGACAGCACTTCTCTGTCACTAGGGGCATGATCCCTAAAGCCACTGACATTCTTATTCTCTTTCCACATCCATCCTCTGTGGTTGGCCACTCCCATTACAGTGGCCACTGCCATATCCTTTGGTGTGATTTCTGATTGAACTTCTGGAACTTCCAAACTTACACAGTCACCTGGGAACTTCCCTTTCAGAACATCCATCCATCTAAGATCAGGAAACAACAAACACAAAAGAAATGGAATTGCCCTGTGTTCCTAGCCATTTGGCAGCCAGATAGAAGAGGGAACAGCCACTTAGAAGTTCACAGAAGTCCTGGCTTCACTCCATTCCAGGGAGGAAAAGAGAAGGAGAAATAGGCAAGTCATCCCTTTTGTATTCAGACATAGTGCCTGTCTCCCAAGTGTCAGGCTCCTCTGGCTCTGTAGCCAATTAGAAGACTTTTCATCATCACCCAATAACTGCCTCTCAGTCCCCCATGGCTAGAAACAATCTTTATAAGTTTCATATGTTGGATCAGAACCAGTTAGGGAATATATGCACATGTTCTGGACCCACCAGGAACAAATCTGAGCACGTTCTAAGGATGGAGCCCTCAACGGTCAGTCCTTCCCTCCCTGCCTTATACTTAAAATTCTTTTTTTCTGTAATTTATCCTGAGAACAAAACCTCTTCCCAACAGTGCATTGGGCAATCATGGTTTTTGGCCTTGCCAATTTTGACCTGAAGAATTCAGTGAACAATGGATTTTGAATTAGAAGAGACTTCAAAAGTTGTCCAGTGTGGTCACCCCATCTCATTTTACAGATGAGGAAATTGAGACCCAAAGAGGAGAAGATCTTGTCTAAGGTAAAAAACAGTCATAATTTGAACCTGGCTCCTTGACACCAAATTGAGTAGTTCTCACTGTACTACATTGGCAATGAATTAGCAGTGCCTTGTAACATTTCTTCTAGCATGACTTTGAGCCCTTATTTCTGATTATTTGATATTTTCCTATTTATGTCTATTCTACAACTATACCACAACTTCCTTAAGGCAGGAGCAATAGCCTGTACTTTGTCACTTCCAAATAAAAACGTGTTTATTGGATCTCAAATCCTGACTCCATGATATAATTTTTGTTCTGTATATGAGAATGCTCTAGTTTAGAGTCCATATATTTTGTCACTTCTGTCTTGGGATTGGACAATTTCTTGCTAAACAAATGCCTGTTAATTTAATCTCAAATTCTGAATGGAAATTCCTTGACATCATTTCTGTACCAGAAGCAAGAGTTCTCTAGATCAGAGTTCAGATATTTTATTTCTTATCTCTTGGGATCAGGACCCAAAGTTTCTTGATTCTTAGTGAAGACACTCACAGTTCTCTAGCTAAGGAAAGATACTCTCTGGACCTTCAGTGGATCTGAGTTGAGAGAACTGGTAAAAACAGCAGGAACCTTGGTGTGTGGTTCATTACCAGAGGATTCCTTAAGGTTTGGATGGGGGTGAGTTGATGAAGATGACATGTCAATATGCATCAATGAGACTTAATATTATGCTCATGAATGTGAAGTCCTTTGTGTCACCAGAGACATGTTGGGGTCAGTGTAAGGTGTCCCAGCTGTGGCTGATCAGACCAGTACAAGCTCAGAAGGCTCTACCATAGGTCACGTACAAACAGTCGGTAAAATAATAAAGCAGTGAAATGATATGGGTGATGTCTTTTAACTCTTATGTAAACTGGATTTAAGCTAGGCAGGGTTGTGCAAAGTCAGCAGCCAATCACCAAGTTGACGATTTTGTGCAGTTCTGCCTCACATCTCTTCCAAAGTCATTGAAATCCTTGACAAGACAACTGGTGATAGCTTGGGATGCAGTACAGTTATCCCTTCCACACTGCCAGGGTTAGAGGCACCACACCCTGGTAATCTGGAAAATGCATGTAAAATTTTTTGGCTCTCCCTTCATATCAGAGAAGAAATCTGAATTTTTTCTTTTTCTTTTATGCGGTGTTTACAGTACTTTACTGTAAAATTTGGGTTAAGTATTTGGTCATAGGCAATATGTAGGTCAAAGTTAAGTAAAAATACTATATGTTTTATGCATTTCTGTTTCTAAACCTTTTCTTTGTCATCTGCTGGCCTTCATGTGTCCTCTGCAACTTTTGCAGAACTCCCCTCAAATTCTCACTTAATGTCTTGTGCTGACTCAAAATATATTAACAACACGATGAGGAAAGTCGAGACGTGGAAGCATTAACTGTCAATCAATGACTTTGGGCTCTTTGACATCTGACCAAGCTCTATGCACTCCACAGTGCCTGCTTCTGCTGCCTTCATGGCTTTGTTGGAACAGATTGTTCACATCCACCTATTCCACATGGGAAGTCTTCATGTTCTTGGGGTGGACAGAAAGTAGTTTAAAGAGAGCAGGAAAACCAGTGATGCCAGTTCATCAGGACACAACGGGACAGGAAGAGGAAAGCGGACAAATTCACCAGGTCCCACTAGTGACAAGGTAGGCACAAACAGCAGATTCTGTCTAGACAGATCACTCCGTCAGCAGATCAGCCCGCCAAGCAAGGCTTCCAGTTCTATTTCGTGCCCTTCACTTGCAGTTGGCTCGTGACAGGCACCTCTCCACAGGGCTCCACGGTTTGTTCTTTGTCTTGCAGCTGGATCTGGAATCAGTAAACCTGGGTTTGCAGCCCATCTTGCTGTTTGACTTTTGTCAAATCATTTCTGCGAACCTTAGTTTTTCCATCTGTAATATAGGCTTAATAACGCTCCCACTGCTTACCTTACAGGTTACTTTGAGGAAAGTACTTGGTAAGCTTAAAGCGCTATGGAACCATGACTTATTACTAACTTGGCCTTTATTGCATCTGGCTAATCAGTTGCCGGGATGGACCTCATTCCTATGAAGGCTCGGAGGTTGTTTGGAAAGGGTGTTTAGAAATAATTGAAACAGAGAGAGCTGGCATTTAGATAGCATTTTAAGCTTTGGATTGTGATAGATTTAGAGCTGGAAATAGCCCGAGAGGTTATCTAGTCAAATTCTATCACTCTGTAGATGAGACAGGAACCCAAGAAAAGTGAAGTACCATGACACGCTGGTAGTAATCAGGAGAATAGGGATTTGAACCCAGGACCAGGATCCTTCCCACTCTACCGTGAATTACCTTATTTGTCCCTTACAGCAGCTCTTGCAAGGTAGGTACTGGAGTTAGAAGAGGAACGTGAGAATGCCTCCAAGACTTGCCTATGAATATAGCACTAGCGAGTAGGCAAGGGAACCTAGTTTCTGCCTCCACCTCCTGGAACTCTGAACTGCTTTCATACATCTCCAATGGCACCTGCTCCTGGTGCCTTTACTTACTGCCCCTTCCCCTCGACGAGTCTGCATTCACTTTCGGGTGTGCTTTTGTTGGAGGGCAGCAACTACTGGTTCTTGTTTTTGGAACCTGGCAGGGCCTGCCTCACAGGGATGGTGACGGGCCTCTGTGATTTCAGTGGCATAGGGAACTCCCAGGCAGGGGAACGCTCTCTACCAAGGCAGTGAGCCACTTCTTTGCACCGTGGAGCCCTGAGAGTGAAGTCGACTGCCGGAGGATCACGAAGCCAGAAGGGGGCGGAGGGGCGGCTCTTTGACCGCTAGGCAATGCCGCCCATCTCCGAATTATTAAATGCGCGTTAATTCTTTACAGCGAGAAGCAGGATTCGAACCTGTAACTGTATGATTCCAAGATGCCGTCCCCTAGCCACCACCCCCTTCGGGGCCCTCGGGGTTAAGAACTGCAAGTCACCTGGAGGGCGGAGCCCTCATTCGAAGCAGGATGAGCGGTGCTGGTGGAGAGCTGCGCGGTTGGGGGTTAGGGGAGGAGAGGAACCAGAGGGAGGCGGTGCGCTCTAGGCTCCGCCCCTGCCTCCTGCCCTTTACCCCCTGCCCTTACGCTTTTCCGTCGTCGCGCCTGCGCCCAGCGCTTCTCTGTCCTGGCCTCCGTCCCCCCTCGCCGCCGCCTCCACCTCCCGCCGCGGAACCGCGCCGGGGCGGGAGGGGCTGCCGCGGTGCCTTGTGGGAAGAGGGGGAGAAACAATATGGCGGATGGCGAGGAGCCGTAAGTATCGGGGATCGCCGGAAGGGCCGGGCCGGGGGGGGGAGGAGGGAGGGAGTGAGCGGCGCCGCCGACCCCCGGGCCTCCCCCGACTCTTCCCCCGCTGCCCTCCCCCTCGCGGTGCCCGGTGCGCGGCGGAGGAACGCTGACCCTTCTTTTATTCTCTCTTTCTTTTAGGGAGAAGAAAAGAAGGAGAGTAGAGGAGCTGCTGGCGGAGAAGTTAGTGCTGCCGGGGGCGGGGCGGGCAGGGCCGGGCCCGGGAGGCGGGGGGCCCGGGGTCCCCGCCCTGCCCCCGCCGCCCGCGGGCGCGCCAGCCAGCCCCGCCCCCAGGCACCCCCCTGCTGCCCCCTCCTTCCCGTAGTTCCCCCCCCTCCCGCTCTGCCCCTCCCCCTCTTCTCCCTTCTTCCGCTAACCGGTCCCTCTGCCTCTCTCCTCTCCGTCCTCCCCCGCATGCGAAGCCCCCCCACCCTACGGATCTCTGGGTTGGGGGAGGAGAGGTTGTCCCGGCCCACGAAGCCCATCCGCGGGGAGCTGGAAGGGGCCGTAGAGGTCGCCCGGCCGGGCCGTCCCCTCGTTAGAGGAGGGAGCCTGGCTGCCGGTCCCGGAGGGGCCGGCTAGCCGCGTCTGCAGCGCTCTTTGTTCGCCTCCCTCCTCTCTGCCTCCTCCCCGACTGAGAACGCTTTGCTTTAGCTCAGTTACCGGGCCTGGCCCGGGAGAGAAGCTGTCTAGGGCCCGGGGTTCTAGATTGAGCTCCGGAAAGAGCCTTAGCGGGGCTCCCCACTTTACCGGCCCGGACGAGGGGGAGACGCAGCTGGGAAATGACGCCTCCATTGTGTCTCCTCTGTGTCAGGCACTCTTCCTAAGGGATAAGGAAACAATGCACACAAACATGGGTCCTTACCCTCAAGAAGCTTATGTTCTATTTGGGGGAAAAAGCATATGCAAAGATAAGTAGATACAAAATGTATTCAAGGTAATTTGGGGTCGGGGGTGGCGGGGCACGGATACCTGGGAGGATCAGGATGTGCCTCCGGAGGGCTTTTAGGCAAAACTTCTTTTATCGACGAGTGGGCTAAATCAGTTGCCCAAGGTCACGTAGGGTAAGGTCTTCTAACTAAAAATCCAAAGTTCTTTCCAGTTGTACTTGGCTAGTTTCAGATTCACAGAGCTGGAAGTGACCTAAGAGGTCATTTGGGCTCACCCTTTCCTCTTAGAGGTAAGCTGGTTGAAGCTCACTGTAGCAAAGAGACTTGTCCGAGGCCATACCAGCAGTTATTGGCCAACCAGAGACCTGGTCTCTGCCCTCTTATTTCAGTGGCCCTTTCACTGTATTTAAATGCAGATGCCCTCCCCTCAAGGCGTCAAGACTTCCAAATCTGTTAAAATTGGAAGTTAGATTTTTTTTGAACTTCTAACAAAGTACAGAGTAAAAGGTGGTTTAAAGAGGCTTATGAAAAGGAAGGTAAATGGTTTCACTTTTTTTCCCCCTTAGAATACAGACCTTGTTTCTTATCAGTTGTTGAGTACAATTTTTAAGTAACTAGCAATTCTAAACAAGGTATTTCTTTTAAACCAACTGTATGATTTTCTTCTTGTGGAAAGGATGTTTACTGGGTGTAGTTGTGAGATACTTAATATACCAGCTACAAACTTATCTCTTTATTTCTCTTGTGAGAAATAAAACTTGTGAGTTTAAATAATTAAAGGTATAGTTAAGCCTTAACATCTTCTTTGAAAACATCAAAATGCAAAATTTTCCATATGTGTCCATACTGTATGTGCAAAATTAGTTCATGCATTTCGGAAACAAGTTGTAGGAATGTAAAAAAAAACCCAAAACCCTATTATTTGTGGGCTGGGAAAGCAGTCTTTAGCTACAGTGACCATCAGTGATGGAATTTGAAGCCCTTTTGAATAAACTCTTTTCTATGTTTAGTGGTGACAGGAAATTATTATGTGGATGTATTGAGGGGTTGGACTTATATTTATTTATTTATTTTAATTTTTGGGTTGTGGTTGTGGAAAAGTCTCTTTACTGATTGTCAGGTCCACAATTTCTTTTTGAATTAAAATGTGAGAGTTGCCTGGGACCCTGAAAGCTTCAGTGAATTCTTGGTCACACAGTTACTGTTTAAGAAGTAGGACTCAAACCTAGGTATTCCTGACTCATACATCATCACATTGACTTAAGTTGCTGTTAAAAAATTGAGAGGTAATTTTTTTTTCAGTGAAAATATTATGCTAATTATTTTTTGGAGCTTTATTTAAAAATGAAAAGTATTCATACCTTTAAAGGTTACATAAATTATTACATTGTGATTTCACGCATCATTATGACTTCAGTTTTTTATTTAAAAAAATTTGTCATTTCTTGAGTTATTTCAGCAAATTGGAAAAGCTTGCAAAATGTTCCCTTTGTAGACACTACAAGAACTTGTTTCCTTGACAGCCCAAAGGCTAAACTGGATTCTTTATATTGCTCTACAGTGTTTAAGAAAAATCAAGGCTGATTGTGGACTGATTTCTAAAATGATCATAAGTTTGATTAACATAGTTTCAAATAATGAGGATGTAGACATGCTATAAGGATATTTTGTAGAGTGAAATGCAAATAGGAAGATTCTTTGTGAGACGTTTTTAAACTTTTAATGAACTGAGTAGGTTAGACAAATTTTGAAAGTGTCACGTGTTCTTGAGATATAGTTTTGTAGATTTTGGGCAGTTGTTTTCCTGCAAATGTAAAAAAGAAAATCACATAAATAGTTGTAGGTACAGTTTTTTTCATACTGATTTTTTTGCAGCTCAATTTACTGTGTTCTATGCAGAATGGCTGTTGATGGTGGGTGTGGGGACACTGGAGACTGGGACGGTCGCTGGAACCATGTAAAGAAGTTCCTCGAGCGATCTGGACCATTCACACACCCTGATTTCGAACCAAGCACTGAAGTGAGAAGTATTTATTTTAAATAACTCCTCTTGTAGTTCTGTTTCAAAATCATAACAAAACAGTACCTGTTTTACTTGTTCTCTGATTTAGGAGTGATACTAATCACTGTGTTTAGAGAAACCTTAAAATCTTTAATCTTAATCTTTAACTATTAAAAAGCCAAATATTTGCAAGTGATTTTAAGAATGTATGTGTATATGTGTGTACACACACACACACAGACACACACACACACACACACAGACACGCACCTTAAATTATCAGTTTCGTCCTTATGTTGCTGTATCAGTTGAAAACCTTTTTTGGAGAGCTTATTTTTCTCCTTCACAATCTAGTAACAGCTCATTTAGAATTCCAGTGAAAATAACCATTGATCATGTAACATGTCATTTTTATAATATTAAATATTTACTTGGAAGATACATTCCCATTGAGCAGTCTAAATCATGTAATTATCATTTACAAATCATGTAAATCAGTACTTGGCATATAGACACTTAAATATTTGGAATTGAAATGTAATTTGGACTCATAATCATAGAATTTTAGAACTGGAAGGGATATGACTTGAAATAATTTTTTTTCTACTTGTGCTTTTTTCCTCTCACTGCTATTTGTTTCACTGTATGATGGGGGAGAAAAATGGTGACCATTTGTGTATATTTGTATTTGTTGAGATTTTTTTTTTAATTTTGAAAGGGAAGTATGTTCATAAAAACAAAATGGAAATTTGAATTTCTCTTTCTCCAGCTGTTGACAGTTCAAAGAATGTTAGAATGAATATGTGTTCACATTTTTTTCTTAAGGTTGGAGAATGTCTTTCTATTCAATGTATAAATTATTATGGGGTCATGTATTTTTTAGTGTTTTGCTACAGGATAATTGTATTTCAGATAATATGGGCGTCCTGCCTTTTTTAATTATAATTTTCCAGATAATACTTTAGCTAATTTTTACACAGGCTCACCCTTTAGAATCCAATATTATTACTATTGTTAACAGGCTTGTCTTTTCTTTAATATTGCCTTCAACTCTTGTCAGGTGTTGATGTTTTTGAAAAAATTTGAAAAAATAACTTTCAGCTTTGGAATTTACTTTAAAATGTTGAAGGCTTATTAAATACTTATTGATCAAGAAGCAGTTTGGCCTGATGGATAGAACAGTGGTCTAGAAGCCAGGAATGTATGGGTTCAAGCCCTGCCCCGACACCTTATGCCAGTCAGTTAAGCTCTTAGCGTTCCAGGCTAATCTTAAGGATGCAGTTTGCAGAGAAGGTGTTGACCAGCTTTGATAGAGGAAACATTTCTTCACCCTGGAGTGACCTGCCAGTGAAATCACAGGTCCAGTACCTGTTCCTGTTCCTATTGCGGATTATTGGCATATTTTTTGTGTCCATTAAATTGTTTAATTTCAGATGTGATAAACATGCTCTTTTCCCTATGTCTGCATTGAAAGAAAGCAAGCCTAACTTAGTAACAGTTTTTCTCTTTATCAAACTTGATAGGGAAAATTAAAATACCTTTTAAAAATTTCATCAGTGAAAATTAAAAAAAACTGAAAAACAATCGGAAAAATTAAAGGTTTAGAATTTAAGTTTTAACTACTGAATACATCTAAACAGCTTACATATTTGTGTGTGCTTTAAAAAAATCCTACATTTTATTTTTCACAAACATAAAATAATTAAGATTTTATGAACCTTTAATTTTATGCCTTTCGTGGTATGCAGATTTTACCTTATGTCTCCGTATTGTAATGTACTTTTCTATTCTTTACAGTCTCTTCAGTTTTTGTTAGATACTTGTAAAGTGCTAGTCATTGGAGCAGGAGGATTAGGATGTGAACTCCTGAAAAATCTGGTAATGAATTGATTTTCTTTATTTTTCTGAGAGAGAATTTAAACCTTTCCCCCATTTCTAATCCCATGAACTTTACTGCATTTGATTATCATTTTTCCTGTTTTCTTTGTTAGTTGAATTCAGCTGTTTAAATTCTAGGAGCTTATTAAAATATGTATTGGGAACTTTGGTTACATTTGAACTCAAGTATCTCCTCCTCAAAATCAGTAAATAGGAGTATTAAATAGCATTTCTTGGTTATAGTTTCCTTAGTGCTTTACCAACCAAACTGGACTGACTTTGGCGAAAGCTTGTGCTGGTTTCAGTGAAATTTTTGCTGAACTAAGGGTGGTAGGGTTAGGCTTTAGAATTTTTAAAAAATGTTGCCAACATGGATAGGTTGTAATTGCATTATCAGAAGAACTATTCACATCAATGACTTCATAGATCCCCTGCTGTATTGAGAAGGCAGAGTCTTTCTGCATCAGGAATTGCCAACATTCCTTTTAGTCTCATGGCAGAATTGCATTTTAATAAATTCCATCTTGAGGAAGGGTGCTATTTAGTGGAACTCTTACAGTGTGTCTTGTCTAGTGACCACTAGTGACGATGATTTATATTAGCATAAAAGCAGAGGTTTACTAGTTCCTGTCAGTGTGTTTTCCTGAAGAGTTTGTTGTTGTGATTTATTAATCTTTCTGCTGCAAGGTCTGTGTGGAATGCAGAGGGGTAGAAGTGGATGATGGGGGTAGAGATAGAATAGCAGAGGGAGGTATAAATATGTATTTACTTACAGCAGCATTTTATTAATGTAAACCTTAAACTCATCTTTAAAGGAAGTTGCAAAAATGCAATTGATTGCACATTTCTTATATGCTCATTACTGAGTAGTCACTGTGAACAGTACAAAACAAATACTCCATAGTGTCCATCCTTCAAAGGGCTTATGTCTTAAGCAAGATTACACACACGCTTGAAATTCATCATAACTAGAAATAGTACACAGTTGCCAAAGGGGCAGCACCCCAGTACAAAGTATCATAGGATGTCAGAGAGGTCAATGTGTGTGTTCAAGCAGTAGTTAGGCAAAGCTTTATTTATGAAAGAAAAAGGATTTGCAGTGTGATTCTTGAAGGCGCTCGGTAGGATTTCATTCATCTTCAGTTCTCTCAAGAAGCTGTTATTTGCAAATACAGAGTTATAAAAATGATACATTCTGATATACACATCCATTCTGTGATAATCTACCAAGTTTTTTTCTTTTGAATACTAATTATAATTTAAAGAAATTTCATTTATATGTGTGGAAGTTCATGAAACAGGAATTTCACCTATATAATTAAGAGTAGTTTTAACAGCTTCGGTACTGGTTAGCCTACCCATTTTTTATGTAAGACTAAGCTTTTCAAGTGGGAGAATTGCATTTTGTTTTTTGAAAATTTTCCTTTCACTTTTAGGAATTTTTTCTTTTGATTTTTAGAGGTAATCCTATAAAATATATTTCTGTTCTGTTTGTTAACCTGATTTAAAACAAAAACAAAATTAGAGTCTGAGGGTTGTAGTATTTCTTTGTTTTAAATAAATTTTTGAATGTTTTATTGTGATCCCATAAACATATTAGTCCAAATTAGTAAAGATAGACATTTTCAATGAAGAGTCATTCTTGGGGATGATTCTTTCATCTGGAATGTGGAAGCAGGGGCAGCACCTTCTGCCTGGTAAAGATGTATAATGGCTCTATTTTTTGAGAAAACTATGGAACATTGAAAGTTGATTTGATTAATGTAAAGCATGGAGCAGACTTCTTTTTGCAGCATTATACAAAAAGACTAATTAGACATCCTGCCCTTCCATAGAGGTGGACAGCTGTGAGCTTTACCTAAATCTGCAGGCAGATACAAAAGGAATTGTAATTCAGAAATAGAAAGTTGCTATTCATCTTCACCAGGCCAAATATCCCATCAGGCAGGATTTTTAAAAAGATGACTTTATAATGTGAATAAGGACTTTGTTTTAAAACAAATTTAATCAGTGAGGTTTCTGGATTATGGCCCTTAAAATTGGGATGTTGGCATTTAGAACTAGATAGTTAATGTTAGGCCTTTTAGCCATGAATGAAAATTTATAAATCTTGCTGAAAGCTGTTAGGATCTTCTACTGTTGTATAGAGCTTGCAGTATTAACCAAAATTTATTACTGCTGAGGGAGAATAGGTAGTACTATGATATGTAGTCACTACAAGTGGGAGAGAAATATTCCCTTTGTTTAAAAGTCAGGCAATCCCCCATTGTTCTATTTACTTGGATTTTTTTTTATTTCTACAGGCATTGTCTGGTTTTAGACAAATACATGTAATAGACATGGACACCATAGATGTTTCCAACTTAAATAGGCAGTTTTTGTTTAGGTAAGTGTTGTCCTAAATTATTTATTTCTTAGGATTCGTACTAACTCTTTTTATAAACTTTTATTCATAGGTTTAATTTCAGTAATTATTTTAAAAACAAATTGATGTATGGATAATGATACTTTTTCTACAAAAATACTTTAGATTACAGGTTAAAAGTTACAGGGAAAAAAGCCCCACTTTCAAGGTGATATTCTGCTTAAAATAGAGTGAATACATATAAGCAGATCTGTCTCAACAATGAGCTGTTACACAAATGTACGTGTAGATTCCCATGCAGAATATTCTTAGCCTGACAGGTTAGATAAATCAATTTGCAGTTGAGTTGTAGCTATGATCTTTTTCCAGCTGAAGTTGTTTGTAAATTCATTGCACTTCAAACCTTAACCTCCTACTGAGCCCTGTGCCAGATGCTAAATGAGATGCAAAGTTGAGAAAAAACATATTCCCTGCAGTTATGAAGGAGTTGATGTGACTCACCTACAAGTAATGAGAGAGCAGTGGAAGTAATGGTATGTGTATTACTTAGGTGGAGAGAGCGCTGCAGCAGGGTCTGGGGCTTGGTGTTGTGCGAGGTTAGTGTTTATGAGGACCTGGGAGGGCTTTCCGGAGCAGGTGGTGGCAGTTAGGTGTGAAAGGAGAAAAGGAATCGTTTGTTTGGGATGGGAGAACATGGAGAAGTGGTGCTGGTAATAATCTGAGGTTTTGAGCCCTGTATGGTGATGTGGATATGGCATTGTACAACAGTTTGAGGCTATTAGCTAAGAGGAGCCTGGAAAATCTGAGGATGAAAGAGCCTGAGAGGACCTGACTGAGGTGAGGACAGCTGGTTTTAATCAGTTCATTAGGAAAGCATGAGAAGTAGGAACAGCTGAGTGGTTGGAGGAGAGACAGCTGTGAAGGGCTGCCAAGCAGTGCCCTCAGAACAGAGAAGCCAAGGAAGAGAACGTCTCTGGGCAGAGTCCTGAGGGCAGTGTTTGGACCTGATGTGAACAAGTGTACCTTCTGGTTCTGAAAGGATTGGGTGTGGAGAAAGGAAGGGCCTTATTAAGGAAGGTCAGTGACTCAGAAGATCAAGCTGGCTGGCCTGGAGGATGAAACAGGGAAGGTCTGAGTGGGACTGAATAAGAAATATCTAAATCAATTCAGGATTGGGCTGAGAACGTTCAGGTAACTGCCTATTTTTCTCTTGTGTCATTAGTATCCTAAGGTTCCCTTATAGTTGTTTTTTTCAACCAATCAAACATTGTTTAGCAGCTACTATGTAAGAGGCAATATGCATAATTGATGAATGGAAAATAGGTTGTATGCCTTTGTTCAGTACTCAGGTGAAAGGAAAGGGGAAAAACCCCTTTATTCCCAGGCATAGGCACATGGGTAATAGCAGTGGAAGGTTGCCTGAACGAGCAGAATCTACCAATTTGATGGCTTTTTGTTTAGAGGCTGCTTTAAAAACCATGTAGTCATAGAGTAGAAATCTGTCAGATATTTGGATGACGGTATTTTTAGTTGTGAGTAAGCATTTTTTTTTATCACATCATAGAGCAATACTTTGGTTTAGAAAATATATTTAGTTAGAACCTGGCTTTGTTGACAAAGATAATGACAAGTCTTGCTATTGTAAATCTTTAAGAAACATTAATTGGCAAGTTGAAAACAGTTTTTAATGAGCACAAGCTATAGGGAAAATTAATATTACATATAAAAATGTGCTGAACCTTTCCATGGAAGAAAGTTTTTAGTTATTAGAAGTGACCATTACCTAGGCATCACGGCTTGTTTTAAGACTTTCTATTCTTTTCAACTTTCTAAAGCCTCTGTAATTTTAGGAATTTCAAATATTTCTTTGTGATTGCATTGTAATAATATAGGAAGTCATTGGTCCTCTTAGAAAATGAAAGATGAACAACAACATATAATGCATTAAAAATAGTTACTCAACCTTTAGAAACCCTTTGAAGATTAGTACTTTTCCTAGTCTAATTAACAGTCCACTTAAACTATGGAAGAGAAGCTTAGTACTCTAGAGACCATTCTAGTCAGTCTTGACATTTCACAGATCAGCAGCTGAGGCCCATGGGAGTGAAAGTGACTTGAATCACCTTTTTGTGTTCCTAGCATGTACTGTAACACATCTCTTGAGATCTTGGTTCTAAGGTATTCCTGACCAAAGGATTGGTTGGACCTCTAGAAACTGGCTCATGGTTGGGAGTCTGGTAAGGGCATCTAATGCATCATCTTTGAAGTTGTTTGAATAGAGGGATGGGACAATAGCACACAGCACTTTTTGCCCTGGAGGTGGATAGAATTTGATATAGCCAAAGTCAGAAATGCCATTTTTCTGTAGTACCTCAAAAAATATAGCATTTTTTATATGTCATGTCATAAGAACTTGTTTTTGGCCTTGTCGCCCTAGTCATCTTTGTGGAGGTGCAGAAACAGCGTAATGAGATGATGCCAACTGAGTGATAATTAGAATCTCACAGGCATATTCATTGTGATTAAACATTTGTGTGTCTGCTGTCCTTCCTACGGGAAAGGTACAAGAGGCTGATGATGACAGTGACAGCAATGACTAGCATTCATATAGCACTTGGAGGTTTGCAAGCACTTGCCCAATGGGATCTTATCTTATTCTTGCGACTACCCTGGGAGATGGGCGCCAGGATGGTGCCCATGGAGAGCAGGAAGCTGAGGCACCCAGAGGCTGTTGAGAGCCAGAGATTCAGCTGTCTGTAAACAGAGGGAGCCCCCCCACTCCTGGAGGAGGAGGGGCCTGAGGGCTGGGACTGCAGTGTCAGAGGCAGGGAAAGCCAGGGGACAAGCAGGGGAGCATCATCTTCACTTGGAAGCACAGGATGTACTAAGATGGAAAGCCAGGAATTGTGGTCAGAGGCTTTCAGACTGCAGGCGGGAGAAACCGCTCAGAGCTGAGGCACTGATTCATTTCAGCTCATGGCATTTTCACTTCAGTGCTTTGACATGAATGTATTTTTCACAGTACTCACTGTAGCTAAAATCCTGTTGGAATGGAAAGCATTAAATGACAAGACAGCGTGGTGTAGTTTTTTAGCAGGCCACCCTATGAATCCAGAAACTCAGAGTTCAGGGCCTGCCTCTAACATTTGTTGACTGTGTGACTCTGGGCAAGTAACCTGTCGGAGCCCTGGGCAAGAAGGGAACACTTGGAATTGTAGAGAGCTACGTCATTGCCATTGGCTTCAAAGCGGGGGTGGGAAGCGTGGCGGTGGCAATTATTTACTGGTATGTTTGAGAATTTAAATAGATCCTCTGGAAGAGTTTTCATCTGTAGGCAGTAATTGTGACTTCTTAGAGCTTTTTAAACGGTGTGTTTTTCCAGGCCCAAGGATGTCGGAAGATCCAAAGCTGAAGTTGCTGCAGAATTCCTAAACGACAGGATCCCTAATTGCGCTGTAGTTCCGTATCCTTTTTGCTGTGAAATATTCTTTTGATGCATTTATTTTAAACTGAAATGGCTTGTTAGATGCCATTTTTGCTAACAATCTTGACCTTTGTGTAGGTCGACGGAGAATGGAAAAAAAAGTGTTATTGCTAACACCTTGAAATGGAGTGGTCCTTGGATGTTTTCTCTTGGTTATTACGTGGCCTTCCATTTTGGAAGGCTCTGCTACTGGAGCACAAGCTCTGCTGTCCCTTTTAGACTATCAGCATCGTTTGGAGGCAGAGAACAGGGATGAGCTTGTTACTTGAAGGCTGCCCTTGAGATGATGAATCTTGTTTGGCTGCCAATGCCTGAGCCCTTTCTACTAAGAAGTGGCATCTGTCCTCACACAGATGAAATCACAGTGCTTTAATGTAAATGAATTGTAAAATTTGCAAGGGAAATACATTCTGTGAAAGAAATATTTTTAAAGAGGAATGTTCAAGGAGAGCATATCTAGATCTGTTATGTTTTCATCCAGGATTCCTTTCATATGTGTGTATAGTCTCATAAAGATTTTTATGGAGATGAGAGAGTATGTAAACAGATCATTTGCTGATGTCTTACTGATTTCCCTTACTTACACACATGTATAAAAATACCGTCCATTAGCTTTTCCATTCTTTGAACTCTTCCCCTCTTTGAGATACCTTAAAAGAGGCCTATTTTGTTGCCTTTTAAGCACATTTGGCTCCTCCAGAGGTAATTTTCTATCTGATGTATCTGGTCAGAGGGCTTCATTCTCTTTAGTGTCATTTTATTTTGTTTCATTTTTGGTAATGGTTATGATGACCAGTGACTGGCCTTTGGGTTTTCTTCTTGAAAAAAGCATTTATGATGTAGCACTGTAAAATTTCTGAGTAATCTCTACCAATCTTTGCAGTTTTTCATTTTTAAAATCTAGAACCATTTTGCTATCATGTTAATGCATTTTTTATGTCATACTCTCATATACTTGAAACAGGGAAAAAATGAAGCAGAACCTCATAATACAGTGATTGGGACTCAGAGTATGTAACTGCATCTTTAGTTGCTCACTTCTATCAAGAGGAAGGAAGTGTGCTTTACAGAACCTATAGTAACTTTAAGGTCCTCATTTTAGAACTGGAAGGAACCTCAGAGGGCCAGTGCCCTCAGTTATGACTTGCCCAAGGTCACACAGGTGTGGGATCATAAGATCATAAATTTAGAGACAAAAGGAAATTGAGAGGTCATCTAGGCCACCCTCTTTGGTTTTCTAGACGAGGATGCTTGGTTCTAGAGAGAGCAGCCTGCCTAAGGCAACAGGTGAGAGTGGGGAGCTGATTCGGGGCTTCTGATTCCACATCCAGGCGTGTATCTTTCTGTATCACCTGAACGTGAATCAGGTGGTGTCTTTGTCTTGAGTTGCTGTTTCTTGCTTTGTGAACATTTTATATATCTCTATCTTTCTGCAAAACTGCACGAGCTCCTGATGGCAGGAATGGTGTTCTGACTTTGTCAGATCCATAGCACTTAGCGTAGTTCCTTATGCTGGCCCAGAAATACTCATTAAACATTTGTTTAGGTCAGGGGTGGGGAACCTGCAAATCTTGAGGCCGCAACGTGGCCCTCTAGGTTCTCAAGTATGGCCCTTTGAATCCAAACTTGCCAGAACAAATTCCCTCAATAACAGGATTTGTTCTGTAAAACTTGAACTCTGTCAAAAGACTGCACCCAAGGACCTAGAAGGCCACATGTGGTCTTGAGGCCACAGGTTCCCTACCCTTGGTTTAGATTGATCTCACAACCTATATAGTATATCCTTTATGTAATTTCTGTGCTGGATATAAGAGTTCTTTAGATCATCTCACTCATATATCTCCTCTAGGATTGGGCCAATCTGGCCCTGTCCAGAAAGCCAGGAAATGAACTCTCCTCAGTGATCCCGAGCATCCTGGCCCTGGTTCCAGAGCACTTTCACAACCTGTAGTGATGATAGCAAGGAACATTTTGATGCTCAAGATTTGAAAACAAGATAAAAAGATTATAAATACTTTGAGATATGGCATTGACTTTCTTTGGCTGTCAGAGTTTGCATCAATAACCTTGCCTAATACTCTTTGTTTTGGAGGTTTTTCAATGGCTTTGGGCCATAACTGACTAAGTTTTGAGCATCATTGAAAAGGAAGTTTGGAAAATAGTCTCTTATAATAGGAAAGCTTTTTTTCTTTTTTTATTTCCTGTTGCCTCTACCTTTAACCTGTTGCTTTTGATGTGATTTCTTCTCCCTTGTGGTGTTTTTTTTAATGTTATTATAGTCTATATTCTTCTCCTGGTTCTGTTTTCTAGCCTCAGAATCATTTTATATAAATCTTCCCATGTTTCTCTGAATTTATCGTATTTTTTATTCTGTACTACACAGTAATATTCCTTTACATTCATAAATCACAATTTGTTCAGCTTTTCTTCATTTGAGCTGTACTTTGTTTCTATTGCTACCATGCTTATTTTGGCATAAATGGGACTTTTCTTTTTTTATTGTTGTCCTTGGGGTCTGTGCGTAGTAGTGGAGCTCTGTTATCACAATCTGTTGAGTAACTTTTCTCAAATAATCACAAAATAGCCTCTATAATTGTCAGCTACTTCTCACTCCACTAAAAGTGAATTACTGTGCCTTGCTTCCTATAGCCTTTCCAGTATAGACTATTTCATTTTCTGTTGTCTTTGCTAATTTGATTGGTTTGAGCTGATATCTGAGGATTATTTTCATTTTTGTTCTCTGTTGGTAATTTGGAACATTTTTGCATATAGTTGCTTAAAGAGGATTCCTTTCCAGCAATAAGGTAGTGATAGTCTTGTACTTTGCCCTGATCAGACCATTTCTAGAATATTAATGTTTAGTGGTGGGCATCACATTTCATTGATAAACTGAAAGGTGTCTGGAGGAGGTCAGGCAGGATGGTGACAAGCCTGGAACATGTGTCTTAGGAGAATCAGTTAATGTTTAGAGCTATAATGCTTAGCCTGAATAAGAGCAGTCTCCTGGGACATGGGAGAGGAGCTTTCCTATAGAAGTGGCAGGAGTTAGAGCAACGTGGGAATTGTAAAGAGGCACATTGAAGATTGAGATAAGAAAAACCTTCCTACCAGAGCTATTCAGAAGGACTGCTTGGGAGGGAGTGTGCACTTCCTCATCGAAGGAAGTTCTTCAAATAGTCTTGATACCACTTGTCAGTTGTTATAGGTAGTAGGATTATTTTTCAGGTATGGATAGGACAAATGGTCACTGAAGTCCCTTCCCACTGAAATTACATTGATTTTGAAAATTTTTCATATCATTTGACCACTTACCTACTTTGTAATGACTGATGTCCTTAGAAATTTGTGCCAATTCCCTATTTATTTTGGATGCTAGACTTATCTCAGGCATACTTGATGCTTTTACAACAATTTTCTTTCCAGCTTTTCCACTGACATCACTAAGTTTCAAGTCATCTTATAAACTCTGTTCTATCTTCACAGCATCTCTCTAATATGCCTGCTTTCTTCATTGGAAGCATGGCCACCGCCCTAGTTCAGGCCCTTATCACTTTGGCAACTTACTACCTGTAATGACTTTAGGCAAGTCTTTTTACTCTGAGCCTCAGTTTCTTCATCAGTAAAATGGGGATTGGATCAAATGACATCTGAGGTCCCTTACAACTCTAAATCTGTGATTCTGTGATCTTTATTTGCCTGTCAGGGAGACTCTTTGAGCCATTCTTCTGTTTAGTTCCAACTTCATTTTCTGTTTTTATTCGGAGGGAGAATGTCAATATGATCAGTAGGCTTTCATTCCTCTGGTTAGTAATTTGTTGGTAATTATTGAAAGATTTCAAATTAAGAGGTATCTGCTATTAACTTAAATGTTAGAAGATGGTGAAAACACATGATTCTTAACTGCCTCTGGCCTTTTTTCTGATGTTTCTCTGTGAATGCGGTCTTCTATCTAGATTCTTAGCCCATTTTGTAATTTTGTAGGTTTCATTGTTTCTGTAGCCAGCTTTGTGGTACCAGCCATTTCCTTTCTTGGCTAGGCTGGCTCTAAGATCTCAGACACAGCCTGTGACTGCAGCCATACATGGAACCTTTCCCCCTTGGTAGAACCTACCAGAACTTGTGTTCTGCTAGTGTGGCCTAGAGAACCCAGAGTCCTCAAACACCAGGAGGAGTCATTAATTTTTTTTTTTTGGGGCATTAATTAAGACAGAACTTTGATGCATCAGCTTAGCAATTCTCAGTTGCTGATAGTAGAAAATCCAGGAAGAACAGGCAGTGTTGACTAAGAAATAGATTTTTTGGGGGCAGCTAGGTGGCGTGGTAGATAGAGCACCGGGCCTGGACTCAGGAGGACCTGAGTTCAAATCCAGCCTCAGACACATAACATTTACTAGCTGTGTGAGCCTGGGCAAGTCACTTAACCCCATTGCCTAGCCAAAAAAAGAAGAAATAGATGTTTTTGGTGGTGAAATGTATAGTGTTAAAGTGAAATATGGAAGTTAGGAAAAGATAAGTGCCCTGGAGCTTTTGACTGTCTCTTAGTCTTAGTGATTGGTATAGAGCTTTACAACATAGTGGATGTGTAATACTACTCTCTGGCTAAAAAAGAGTGTATTGTATATGTACATGAAAGTAAACCCTCTCTTTTGACATTGTTTGATTCTCTTGCCTTATACTTTTGGATGGAGAGAATTTCCTAATTTAGATAACTTTGTTCATTCTTTCTGTTTTCTTAATATTCACATATCCTGCCAGCATTTTGTGCTATTAGAACATTCTTATGTTGTAATTTGCAGTTTGCAGGTACGTTTCCTGGTTTGGCCTTAGGACTAAGAGAAGGATGCAGCCCACACTGATGCTAGGATCCAGACATGACAACCCAGAAGTTTCCTTAGTAATGTCTTCAAATGGAATTCTTGGATTGCTGTGTCACTCTACTGTTGACCCTTGGATTCAGACAAAACCAGCTAATTTTTCTAAAACTTAAACAGTTGTTAACTTAATAGAGCAGGGAAGCAACAGCTTTCTTGTGGGCAACATTCCATTGAATTGAAATGATTAGAAAAATCTCATTTAAAAAAAAATTATTCTTTATCCCACAGTGATGCCTTGGAGCTCAAGGCATGGACAGGCACTCCAGAAAAGGAGAAGCCTTTTGACGAGAAACTATGTTATGTTCTCTTAACTTTCTGTTCAGGTGTGATCGGCCCTTCGTTGCTTTGGGCCAAAAGCCATTGCAGAACCTCCAGAACAAAAAACAGTGACAAGTTGATCCATTCAGTTAGAACTTTGGGGAAAAGGAACCCACTCTATATCTGAGTGTTTTTGTCTTAACTTTTCTACTTGCTTTTGAATCTTGAGAGTCAGAAAGTTCCTTAATATTATCACTGTGCAGGCTCTACATCCAGAGCCATAAAACCGGGTGTCACTGAGGGCAGGCCATTTCATTGCTCCTTGGACAGGGTCAGACGAGAATTCTTTTTCTTACCGAGCATAGAAATGACATGAGGAGACGCACAGGACTTGAGATCAAGCCAGCATCTCAGTGTGGCAGCACAAGGCATTGTGTAAGTGCTGTGGAAGGCATGGGTGTAGAGCACTGTTCTGCCCTGAAGAGCTGACAGTCTAGTTGTGGAAGCGACATACACAGGAAAATGTCACATAGCAAGAAAAGAACAGCTGAAGACATTGGTAAAAGAGATTATTATGAGATAGTCCGTAATTCCTTGCCAGTGTGAGACAGTGAGAAAAACACTGACTTTGGAGTCAGTAGACCTTGAGAAGACCTGCCATCAGTTCTTGGTTCTAGTCTGTCTTTGGACATGGGAGGCTGTCTCTCCAGATTTGTACTTCTTCATCTGTAAAATCAAAGGAGTTGGCCTAGATTCCCACCAAAGTCCAGTTTAGCTCTAAATAGATGATCCTTAATCCAGCAGAAGGAAAGCTGATTCCAGAGTGCATTGCTTAGGGAAATTCTTAGAGAGGAGGTGAGCTAGGTATCTCACAGTGTATATAGGGAGCATTCTGCTTATGAAATCTCTCTGGCTCTAATGACAGCATGGAAGTGTTTCATAATCTGTACTCTGAGACCAAAATTGTTCAACATACTTAATCAGAGTCTAGCTGATTAACAGAACTACTCAACTGATAGATGAAAAATAATGTTTGCTGTGTAAAGAGCCTTTTTATTTATAACTGGTATTGCAGTTATAAATATAAAGGCTCTTTACACAGCAGACAAAGGAGATGACTCCTTAGTCACCTCTCCCCCTAAAACCCTAGTAGCACCTCATAGTTGGCATTAGCTTTTCAACAGTTGTTCAGATCTAAACTGTGTAAGTAAATGATATGCTAACTTGTCTGATTTGTCAAATGTCTTATGAGTTTAGTTGCTTTGAATGCTGGTGACTTTTAGTTGTAGCTAAATGTTGAGTATATCTGTCTGTCTCTTATTTATATATATACACATACACACATTTTAGTTCCTTTACTTCTATTCAGACATTTCAACAAGATTCAAAATTTTGATGATACTTTCTATAGACGTAAGTTTTCACTTGAAATCTCATAATTTTACAATAAATGTTTACCAAGTCCTTGTTTTAAAGTTATTTTTTTTCTTTATAGAGATTATTGACTCATTGAATGCTAATTAATGGTATCTTCTATTTCTTTTTCTTTATTGGGACTTTAACAACTCCTGATGATGTAGTAAAAAGAGAAGAAAAAGTGTTGATGTTTAAAGGCTAAATTTTGCCTTGCTGCATTCAGCAAAACTAGAGTTAAAATATTGGATTTTAAAATTGACATTTTTACAAATTGATAAAATATGCTGTCCTGTGTAAATATGAATTACTTACATTTTATAAATGAATGACAAATCATTAAGTGCATAGTAAGTATCAGTCACAGTGCTGTAAGGTGGGGATAGAAATACAAGCAGGTAAGATTGCCCCAGGAGCTTATATTCTAACTGGGGAAGGCAGCACATAAAGGGGTGCTTGAAAGGGTTGAAACTGGGAATAACCAGAAAGTGACATCTGAACGTTTGGTTCTGGGCATGATTGTAAAAACTCGCCAGTGAGAGCCCAGGGTCCTGGAGCAGAGTGCAGGTTCAGGAGGAACAGGGATGAAGAAGATGGCTTCCTTTTAATTTTTTTTTTAAACTAAAACTCTTATCATTTTTTCTTAGAATTTCATATCATTGTATGTGGTCTGGACTCTATTATTGCTAGAAGATGGATAAATGGCATGCTGGTAAATGCTTTCATATTTTCTCTGGTTTCTCTAAGTTCTTGATAATTGGACACCAAGTAAATTAGAGTTAGATTGTGTTGTGGTCATTAAGAAAACTCAAGGCTACTTTGCTGCTTAGTTTTGAATTAAGTAAGTAGTTATAACTCACTGCTTTGTGAGGAGGAGATTAGTTAGTGGAAGCCTTTCTGATTATGGGTGAAGGTTATTGAGTTGTCTGACTGTACCCAAACCTTTCCTCTAAATCTGGCTTGCACAAAACCAGAGTGTTGCCTGTAATTGACCTCTTGGATAACAGAACTCTTGGGACCATAGACTTAGAGATAAAAGGGCATCAGCTTAGAGGGGATCCAGCCCAGCTTCCTACAGGAATCTGAATTCCACTGATGTTAGATGATGTGCACAAGGCCACACAGCTAGTAAGTGGGAGAGTCCCAGGCTTCAAACTCAGGTCTTCCGGACTTCAGATTCTGTGTTCTTTCTCCTGCATCATGCTGTCTCCCAATGATAAATCTAATAACTGAGAATTATGATAAAAATGAATAAAACATCCTTACTTTAATTGAAAGAAATGTAAAAAAAAACCTACAAGCACATGTGTATTAATATAGTAATTTAAATGTTTTAGTGAATCCCTAGTTCTATTTTTGTTTTTAGGGAAATGTCACTTTTAAGGGTGAGGCCTGTGTTTAATGATAGCATATATTCAGACCAGTATGGTAATATCGGATACCACTTTCATTAATAAAACTCACTTTAAAACGGCTTCCTTCTCCCCCCCCCAAAAAAAAAAGATGTTACCTTGAAGGTTCTGGGATAATTTTGTCATTAATTCTGTTTTTATAGTTGTTTTATGTTCTTCTAGATATCACTTCTAAATTATGAAGATGGTGTATTAGATCCAAGTTCCATTATTCCTTTGATAGATGGGGGAACAGAAGGTTTTAAAGGAAATGCTAGGGTAATTCTACCTGGAATGACAGCTTGTATTGAATGTACACTGGAACTTTATCCACCACAGGTAATTTGTTTTACAGACTGTTGAAGAGAATTAAGTTTTAATTAACATGTTTTAGGACCTACTAGATAAAATTTGGAAAAAGAAGCTAACATATACTAAACATGTTTGTCTTTGTTATGCTCATAACATTAACTCATTTTTGTATACGTAGGTAGGAGTTAGGGGTGAGCTTATGCCACATAAACAGAATGGGGAGCTTGGGAGATGAGAGACTTGGTTAGGAATGTCCCATTGAGGGGCCTCGGTTTCCTCAAGGGGTTAAATAATTCATAATTTCCCCTCAGCATTCCTAGGACACACTAACTCTGAATCTACTACATGACCTAATGGCCAGAAGAGCCTATCCTAGGCTGCCTTCAGAAAGGCACAGTGTCCAAAAAAAGAGAGGTGAGGGTCTTTGACTACTCTGCCTTGGTCAGACTACATTCAGGGGACTGGGTTTAATTCTGGACACCACATTTTGGGGAGAACTTAAAGAAGAGGGACCTTCAAGGTATTAGTGATTGGGCTATATAAACAGCTGTTGAAACTAGGGAAATTTAACCTGGAAAGTTGAGGACTTCGTGGGGATGTGATACAGTTATCAAGTACAGATAGTTGTCACATTATGCACATTCAACTTTACGTAGAGGATTCTGAAAGAAATCCACATTCCAAAAAACACCTATGTTAACTTTACTGTACAGTATTGTGCTCTCTCTGCTTCTGCCCCTTGGCTGGGCATTCTGTGCCAATCTCCCACCAGGAAAAAAAACACAGACAAACCCTAAAAAAAAAAAAGTGAAAGCAGAATGGAAGGGAGGAGAGGCTGCCACCACCACCAGATTTGGGGTGGGGGAGGAGGCTTGGTTTGAGATCTCCAGCACTGAGACTCCAGTGCGGCAAGAGAAGACCTTTGCCTCACTCTGCCCACCCGCCCAAATGTCCAGCCCCAATGTGTGTTTTCCATCAGTCTGTGCTTGGATACCATGTGTCTGTCCCTGGCCCCCACATGTCCTTGAAGTCTGTGGTGGCCACCCTCCCTTCATGAGAGTGTGGCCCCCTGCTTGCCTCCCTCTGTCCCTCCCTTTCTTTTGCCTGTGGGCCAATTTACATTATGTAAGATTGCTTTATGTAGAGGTCTGGGGAATGGTCCACTTATGTAAAGTGAGAACTGTCTGTACTTGAAAAGACTCATACATCAGAGAGATTAGACTTGTTCTGCCTGGCCCTAGAGGAGTCAGAAGTAGGAGTATGAGGAGAAGTTACAAAAAGCCTATTTAAATAAATGAGTAAAAGTCTTGCCAACACTGAGTGAAGGAAGGAATTGGGGGTGGGGGGAGAATTGGCTTTCTCTCACTGGAAGACTTTAGGCAAAGACTTAGTGTTCTGTTGGTGATTTAGCAATTCTTGGTCAGGTACAGGTTGAACCAGGTGTGGTCAGACCAGATTCTGGAGTTCTGTTTGGCCACCAGGATTTTTGTAGTTCAATTTAACAATGGTTCTGTAGTCAGTGATTGCCAGTGCTAAGCTGATCCTGTTTGATTCCTTGGGTTCTTAGAATCTGTTGAACTCCAGGCTCTGACTGCGTGTTTCCCTTCTGTTCTGACCATACCTGGGTGTCTTTTCTCCAATACTTACCCTCTCTTTCCCTTCTAAAGCCTGTGTTACACTCTTCAGGCTAGCAGTGTGCTTATTTATTCATATGAGAAAAGAATAATAATTATAATAGGCTTTCAAGTAATCCCAAATACGTAATCCGTCTCTGCTGGATAGAGTATGGGCTTTGTAGCTTACTAGCCTATTCTAATTAATTTGCCTCAGTCCTTGATTCTCGCGTTGTTTTCATCTCCAGGCCGCCCCCCCCCCCCCCCCCCCCCCCGTTGGGGTGTCCTGTTCCAAAACAAGAAGATCCAGTCTCTCATGTTCCTTCCTTCTTTGTTGTAGGTTGACCCCTCAGTACCTTAAATTGGAGACATTTGGTTAAGCCACAGGCTCCACGTGGTTTTTGAGGGCTGTTGGATTTTCTCCCATGCATTGCTATATGATCACTTGTCCATTTCTACTGTCCTTCTCAAGGGCAGAAAAGAAACTTCGTATGAAGTGCTATTCAAACAATTTTTTTCTATCACTCAGAAAAAGAATGATTTATCCCATTACCTAGTTCATCCCCGAAGTTCACCAAAGATAGCTTTTCATCTACGCGTGTTCTGCAAGTGTTGATTAGATACCAACAGCAGGCATTAACAACGCAAGGTTATGCCATTTAATCACAAAATCTCAGTTACTTAATACTTAGAATTTGGAGCTGAGGTTTAACAGCTTGTCAGCTGATACTTGTTGCTAATTTTTTTCTGTCAAAAATTTACATTTTTGAAAACATTCTAATCTAAATTTATGGGAATAGGATGGTTGTGTTTGAGAATCTGCTCAGTAATTCTCTGTTTAACCAGTGAAAATAAAATTTATAAAGCTCCATTTTTTGGGGGGGGAGGTCTAGGGGGTTAAGTGAGTTGCCCAGGGTCACACAGCTAGTAAGTGTTATGTGTCTGAGGCCGGATTTGAGCTCAGTTCCTCCTGAAACCAGGACCCATACTCTATATCCACTGTGCCACCTAGCTGCCTCATAAAGCTCCATTTTATAGCTTACTGCCAAACCTACTGTTTTAGACTGACCAAGTGTTATTCTTAGCTTATTTTAGAAAACAATTTAAAATGTTTTTGCTGCATAAGTAATACACTAAGGTAAATTTTAAAAATCAGGTAATTTAATATAAACATGGAGTTTTTCAGGCATACAATTTAGTCAAGGAGAGATATATTCTTCTAAAGCTATATTTAAAAGGGAAAAGAGGCACCCTTTAAAACCCTCAGCTGACAAAAAAAAATTATAAAAAAAGGGGCAGCTAGGTGGCACAGTGGATAGAGCACCGGCCATGGAGTCAGGAGGATCTGAGTTCAAATTAGGCCTCAGACACTTAATACTCACTAGCTGTGTGACCCTGGGCAAGTCAGTTAACGCCATTGCCTACCAAAATACAAAAAAAAAATTATAAACCCCTCAGCTGAATGCAGTTGTTTTTGGTTTTAGGTTAATTTCCCCATGTGTACCATTGCATCTATGCCCAGGCTCCCGGAACATTGTATTGAGTATGCAAGAATATTACAGTGGCCCAAGGAACAGCCTTTTGGAGGTAAAAAAAAACTCAATTTGAGAATTTTAAAATAACTAACAAAACACATCTTCAATTTTATTGAGCCATAAATTCATTTTGGTGATGTTAAATATATTTTGAATTTTTATTTCTAGAAAATTAATGTTTTTAATGTATTTATGTCCCTTTTTTTCTAGAGGGAGTTACGTTGGATGGAGATGATCCTGATCATATTCAGTGGATTTTCCAAAAATCACTAGAGAGAGCATCACAATTTAATATTAGAGGTGTTACCTATAGGCTAACACAAGGTAAGCCAGCGAGTTGTTAGGTAGTCATGGATGAAGGGACCTTGGACCCATCATCCTTTCACTTGGGCTCAGTCAAACAGCCATGAGAATTTCAGTGAGGATCTAGCTGAATTCAGTTTGACAAACATTTATTAAGAGCCTTTAATATGCAATCCCTGCCAGGTGTATCCAAGGACTAGTAGGAAACAAGGAGCTGACGTGATGGGGGAGGGGGGTTGGAATAATTACGTGGATGAGTGAATGCAAAGTCATTTCAGGAGGGAGAGGTCACTAACAGGTGAAAGGAATCAAGGAAGGCTTCATTTAGGAGGTTATAGCTGGCAGGTGGTGATGTCTTCAAAGAGGGCAGGGCTTTTGTGAGATAGGAATGTGTTCAAACATATGAGACATCCGTTCGAAGGCATGGAGGTGAGATGTCATCTTTAATGGACAGCCAGCAGACCAGTTTGACTGCGATAGACAGTCTCTTGTAGGGGAGTATCATGGAATACATATGGTCAGGTGGTTGGGAGCCACGTCATAGAGGGATTTAAATGCCAGACCAAGGATTTTGTATTTTATGCTAGAGGAAATTGCCAGTCATTGTGCTAAGCATTTTACAATTATTATCTCATTAGACCTTCACAACAACCTTGGGATGTAGGTGCTGTTATTATCCTCATTTTACAGTTGAGGAAACTGAAGCAGACAGATTTAAGTGATTTGCCCAAGGTCATACAGCTAGTGTCTGAGGCTGGATTTGCATTTGGGTCTTCCTGACTCCAGGCCAAATGCTATAGCTACTGTACCACCTAAGGAGCCACTGGACATTCCTGAGTGACATGGTCAGCCTTAAATATCTTAGGAATATTAATTTGACTTTTCTGAAGATTGATTAGAGAGTGGAGACCAATTTAGAGGCTATTGAAATAGTCCAGGCTGGAGATAAGAAGTAGCCACAAGGTAGAATTGATGTGATTTAGCAAGTGGTGAAATGTGAGTAGTGACGGAGAGGAAAGAGTCAAAAAGGACTCCAAAGACATGAATTCCTTTGACTAGAAAGAGTGATGCTGTCAACAGATTGAGGGGGAGCCCCTTCAAAGGAGGCAAGATAATGGAATTTCCTTAGGACCTAGTGAGTTTGACATACTAATGGGACATGCAGGGGAAATGTGGAGCAGCCAGTTTGTGATGCAGGGTTGGCATTCGAGAGATGAGGGCTGGATGGACACACTTGGGAGTCTTCTACTTATGGTTGGACTCATGGCATCTGATGAGAGTGTGGTAGAAAATAGAGAAGAGGTCCCAGAACCAAGCCCTGAGACATTAAGTATGGGCAGACTTATTCTTATGGGTCATAATGGATGATGATCCCAAAAGAAACAGTCACACACAGGTAGGTACCAGGAGAAACGAGAAAGCAGTATCCTGGAAGTCATGTGAGGAGAGAGGAAGCAGGAGGTGATTGACAGTGTCAGAAACTGCAGAGAAATCAAGTTAAATGAAGATTTAGAAAGGACCTTTGGATTCCCTAACTCCATAGGGAAAGCCAAGGAAGCAGCCCTGAGTTTGCTAGCTACCTGAGAAATAATAAAGAGCAGCTTATCTACTGTCTTGTTTTTATGAATACCATAAGAGTGTAAATGTTATATTGATAATAAGGCTCATTAAAAACTGAATTATCTTTATCTAATCCAAATAGTTTCTAATATATGATTAATAATGACTTACACACATATACAATGCTTTGTGTTTAACAAAAGACTGCATATATATTTGATTCTTGAAACAACTCTATGATATAGATACTGAGAGTTTGTGATCCCTCTTTTCCAGCTGAGGAAATGGCATCAGAGAGATTAACTTGCCCAAGATTATATAGTCAAAGTCTGACTACAAGGCCTCTTTCCATTGACTTCTGCTATATTGTTAGGTAGGCAGCTAAGATTGGAAGGTGAGAAGTATCAGCTGTATTTGGAAGCAAGCCAAGTGGCTTTAAAAATACATATTTGTATTTATATCTGATCCAGATATTATACTTATCCAGATAATGATGTTGATAAATAATTTGGTGTAATTTAAATTTATACAAACAATTATCCAAATACCTTGTATGTTACAGGTACCCAACAAATGTTGAATTAAATATATAATGTTTGATAAATATATAATTTCAGGAATAAGCCTTGTTGCATACATTTTATAAAGTTACATAAGAAGTTTTGTTTAGCGTTCTAGCGTTTCCTTTTACCACTGGCATCTGTAAAACAGATTGAAGGATTAAAATATTGAGCAGATTCACAAGAATGTAGCGTAAGATCTAAGAGTCATGTTTCTAACCAGATCCTCAACGTTGACCTCTTACTAGAAGTGTCCAAGTGTCTGTTCTCTTTTTCTCTAGGGGTTGTAAAGAGAATCATTCCGGCTGTGGCTTCCACAAATGCTGTCATTGCAGGTGAGGAGCAAGGCCACTCTTTGAATGTGGCTCTCTTTCTTGGCATCTTTTGTTTCATAATTGAGTATCTGCCTATCTTCAGGAGCTTGTCAGCAGGGCAGCTGCAGGGGGATGAATCTCAGCCAGAGTCCCCTTCAGTGACCGTCCGCCTGGTAGGCCTAGGGGGTTTGTCAGAGGTGAGTCAGTGCAGGGAGTCCCCAGAAAGATGAAAGTACAGATTCTAGGATGAAATGATTTGAGTCGAATTTTCTACAGTCATTTAAGGAGTTTGGTACCTTTTTGATTGTGACATAAGGACCTTAAAAGTAGTGACTTATGTCAGAACATGCGCTAGATGTGGGAGTTTATTGTAAGTGGGAATTATGTAAATACAAGGTGTTACTGTGGTTTCGATTCTATTTTTTCTCACTCTTACAGGGTACTTAGCATTACTGCTAGATTCATTCTGGCCAAAAGGGTTTAAAAAAAAAAAAGGCGGCCTGGATTACATAATACAATATAAAGTAACCTTTTGACAGTTGAATTTTTTTCATTAGGAGTTGTGTTTTATTAGAAATGGGCAGTTTTTCTTTTTCATCAATAAAGTGTTAAGTAATCTTTCCTTAGTACTAACCAAACATAAGTTGCTCACTTTGATTTTAAGTGTTCAAAATCCATAAAACAAAGCAATTGTGTTTTTTCCCTTTTCCAGCTGTGTGTGCCACTGAGGTTTTTAAAATAGCTACAAGGTAATGTGTTTACTTTTTCATAAACATATATAATATACATATATACACACATTTCAAAGTGGCTATACGATATAAACATAAACATGTTTTTCATTACAGTGCATATATTCCCCTTAATAATTACTTGGTATTTAATGATGTAGATGGACTGTACACATATACGTTTGAAGCAGAAAGAAAGGTTAGTATGACTACTGATGAACAGTTATTGCAGTGCATACTTTGATTTTAAAGTATCAGTGTTTGCTTCAAATCATGAAAGATTGAGATTGTTCATGGTTTAACTTGGCCAGACTTGTCCCTTTAGTTTCTCTGCCTCATCTGGCCTTATGTACTACTGCATGTGAAATCTTACAGTCAAGCATTGGTTCTGATAAACTGGACAACCAGAGAACTGCTTTGCTTAGACATAAACATTTTCAAGCAGATTAGCTTGATTTTTATTTTAAATTGGAATGCTAGACTGTTTCAGAATGTTTGCATGGTAATTCAGCCTTCTGAAGAATTTTTAACTGACTGGTATGATTTGCATAATACCATAATTGGTTTTTATGAGAGGCAGCGTGGCGCAGTGGATAGTGTGCTGGACTTGGAATCAGGGATGCCTGGGTTCAAATCTTGCCTCTGACGCTTATTAGCCATGTGACCCTGGGAAAGTCACTTTACGTCTGTTTGCCTTAATTTCCTCATCTGTAAAGTAGGAATCGTAATAACATCTACATCAGATGAGACGCTATGTATAAAACATGGTAAATATTAGCCATCATCATTATTATTTCTGCGTATAGGAGAATTGCCCAGCTTGCAGCCAGCTTCCTCAAAATATCCAGTTTCCCCCATCAGCTAAACTGCAAGAGGTTTTGGATTATCTAATTAATAATGCCTCATTGTAAGTATAAACTTTTGGGGGATTTGAAAGAGTTTTATGTATTTGAGGCATTCTGCATTTTTAAAAAGTTGTTAAGATAATATTTCCTTCTTGATTTACAGACAGATGAAATCTCCAGCCATCACAGCCACATTAGAGGGAAAGAACAGAACGCTTTACTTACAGGTGATGGAATCCCTGTTCCTTGTACTTTGATTGGGAACTATTAAAGAATTTGTGTTTGTGAATTTTAAATAAAATTTGTTTTTATATTTTTAGACAATAACTTCCATTGAAGAACGAACAAGGCCAAATCTTTCTAAGACATTAAAAGGTATTTTAAGTAAAGACATTTCCCTAATACATTGAAATGTTTTTAATAATAGACATGTTACACAGCCCTTTAAGGTTTATGAAGCACCTTTACAGTGTTTTGCTTATGAAGTATTTTCTTTGAGGATGAATTTTACAGGTCTCACGATAACCTAAAGCCTTATTTGCAAAAACGTAACTATAGAGAATGAACTCAAGTTTATTTCCACTAGTTCCTCTAGGTTGTCAACCTTATAGTACTTTCATATTGTATGTATTTGAAATTTTTGCTGAAATATTAACTTGAATTCTGATTTTTCCCCATTTTAGAGTTGGGCCTTGTGGATGGACAAGAGCTTGCTGTTGCTGATGTTACAACACCACAGACTGTACTGTTCAAACTTCATTTTACCACTTAAGAACAATAAATATACATCTAAAAGAGGATTGGAATCTACCGCAATATTGTGCTCTATGTGGATGCTCAGAATAACCTAATTGATGTCCCTTTTAGTATTAGTGTTCATAGAATTTGACTCTTACAGTGGATCACGCTTTCTTATTCAGAACTGACCCTCCAAGCCAGAATTTGGGGGGTGGTGTTTGTGAGTTTTCATTAGTATGTGGCTAAAGAGGCCTGGAAAGAGAGATTCTGACTGATTGTAGTGTTTCTGTTTCTGTTTAGAAGGCAAAGGCCATCTTCTTGTACATGAGGACTTTAAGATGGTCAGATGGTGTAAATCTTTAGCTTTCAGTTGAATAACCATATATGCAAAAGAATGTCCTTAAAGAAAATTAAGATATTAAATGCCATTTTGTAAGTCAGATAAATATAACCTGTGTGAAGAGTTAGGTACCTATAACATATTGAATTTAGGATGTTTCCTGTTTGAAAGAATATTCATTTGATTTTGACTGTCTAAATGATTGTTAAGTATTGTAAAGGGATTCCATTGTCCATGGTGTTTTATTAAGTGTTTCAGTTTAACATCTGTGCATGAAAGTGGAAAACATTTTTATGTGTATATTTGCTGTGCCATGGTAGTTAATATGCACAGTGTTGAAGCCAGAAGCTCACTGATGTTCTGTAATAGAACTTAATGTTTGAACAATTATCACTGAATGTGTCAAACTATTTCTTAATAAATCATACCTGATAGACTTTGAGATTGGGCCAAGTGAAGTGAGGTTAGTCACTATTTTTGTAGTAGTGTAGGAATGTGTGAAGTAATGCTATTGCTTACATTTCCATAGCTTGGGAACTAACATATTCCTAATAATGAAGAATTTACAGGTTAATTCTAACCTGCTCTGACAGAATAATGGTTTATGTTTATTTAGTGGCTTCTTTACTGAAAAGTTTCCCCACAGGAGGGGCAGGTTTGTAGTATGAGTATCATCCCAGTTTTACAGGTGAAGCACAGCTTCTGGAATTTCTGACACTTGCCCAGGGTCACTCAGCTTGTACTTAGGGGACCTGACACTTAACCCTAGGTAGTCTTTCTAGTATTCCATGCTGATGCTATAAATAATTCAGACAGGGTTGGGTTTTCTTTTGAGGCAATTGGGTGAAGTGACTTGCCCAGGGTCACGAAGTTAGCAAGTGTCTGAAGCCACGTTTGCGGTCAGGTCCTCCTGACTGCAGGGCCGGAGTTCTATCCACTTGGCCACCCAGTTACTTTCAATGGTTCTTACAGTTCATAAAATCCTCAATGTTTCCAAGCAACTGTTGGACAGACAGAGGGTTTCTACACTAGAGCAAGTGTCTCGCCCAGGGCGCTTCCTGGTTGCTGCATCAGGTGTCGGTGTTCCTGCTTGGGGATGCTCACACCTGAGGCTTCCAAAGGGCTTTACTGGAAAAGTTGGAAATTTCGCTTTAAAAAGGGATGAGGTGAAGCAGTACCGTGGATGCAAATGCAAGGCTGGATTAACTACCGGAAGACAGTTTTAAACACGTAAATCTTAGTTTCTGCATGGATCTGCGAGCTAGGCTCTGGGGACCCTCGGGGCGGAGGGCCGAGATGGGCTTCACTGGGGCTCCTGGGGGCAGAGTCTTAACACGTCTAACGCACTGATCACATAGCCCGCCTACTAGGCGCCTACGGTGCGCCCGGCCACCCGCTGGGGATACCGAGGCAGGCGGAAGCACCCAGATCTGTCTCAGGAAGCTCGCGCAGGAGACGTGGAGACCTGTGTGGAGGTTGCGCGCGGACCCCGGCCTCCACTTGGGCACTCCAGACCTGAAGTGCGGCCCATCCCCTCTCGGAGACTCGGCTTCCTTCCTCATCGTTGGCCTCTCGAAACTTCCCCGCCACCAACACACACACACCCACATCCTGGGCAGGCACTTCCCCATCAGCCAGTGCAGTTCGGTCCGCGGGTTCCGGGTTGCCTCGGTAACCAGGGGCGACGCTTGTCTCCAGGAAGTGACGCAAGACTACAGCCTTCCCGCTTCCGCCTCCACGCCCCCGTGGTGGATTGTTGTGTACGTGGAAGGCTTCCGCGGCTGCGCAGTGGTGGTGGCGGCTCCGGCTCCGGCTCCGGCTCCGGCTCCGGCTCTGGCTCGGGAGCTCAGGGCGGCGGTGAGGGGTTGCGTCCCTGGGGCCATGGCCGCCCGCTGACCGCCGACCGCGGCCGCCGAGCCTCGCGGGGAGCGGCGGGGCGGCCCGCAGGGCGCGGAGATGAGCTGGTTCAATGCCTCTCAGCTGTCGAGCTTCGCCAAGCAGGCCCTGTCCCAGGCCCAGAAGTCCATCGACCGGGTCCTGGACATCCAGGAGGAGGAGCCCGGCGCGTGGGCAGAGGCGCGGCCCTTCGGGGACCCGGGTAAGGACGGGCGGGAGCCCCTGTCATTCCGCCGGCCCCGTGGGGCGCCGCCGGTGCGCTAGGCCCGGCGCCGCGCCCCCAAACGGCCCGGCCCGGGGCGCTCGCGGCCTCCCTCCGGCCTCCCGGGCAAAGGGAGAGGTGCCGGAGCCCTCGTGACGTGGCGCGGGGCAGGCGGCCCTCCGGGGGACCCCCCAGCGGGGCCTGTAACCCGGGGTCCGCGGGCTCTCCGCAGGTCCCCCCAAAGCCCCGCGAGCAGAACCTGCCCCGCAGTGCGTTCCCACAGTGGGGGGCTCATCCTGCACCCCAAGTCCGCCCGGCCGAATTAGGGTCCCGGGCTCCCAACAGGCGAGTAACTGTCATTGTTTACCTTCATGGAGGCGGGGCCGCCGTGCGGGGCTTTGCCTGGGAGAGCCCCGGCCAGGGGCCGAACCTTCCTCGGGAGGAAGGACGGACGTGGGGTGCCGTCTCCCCTTTTCTGCCTTGTCCCTTCCAGTTTCTTGGACTGGCTCTCACTCCAGGCCGGACTGAACTTCCCCGGGGGCCAGGACCGTGAGTCAAACGCTGCTTAAACCTCAACAGTGATTTTGTTGGCCTCCTGTAGTTTGTTTTTCAAAAAGTCTTGCAGCACTACTCTTTTTTTTTTTTAGGACAGCTAGCATACGTTTATCATTAAGCTATTGTCATCCAATTTTATTTAGTCGATTCTTCCTGTTGGACAAATTTACAAAAAAAAAAAGATACAAAATGGACTTAGGTTTGATTTTAAATTGTGAATTTAATAATAAATAAGCACTTATTTTGAAGTGCGGAGGTTGACATAGAAAGTAGATAATCTTTTTTTAAAATTTATTTATTTTGTTTTATCAGCAATCACTTCCATAAGCTTTTTAAATTTTTCTCCCCAGCCCTTCCCAAGACGGACTGCCTGTAGGGCAAGTTAGATTTCTATACCTAACTGATGTTATTTCCTTCTTGAGCCAAATCTGATGAGAGTAAGGTTTAAACAACGCTTGTGTCCCTCCCTTCTTTCCCTGTGCTATAATAGGTTTTTTTCCTATTCCTGTTCTTTTTCCTATAATGTAATTTACCCTTGTCTGCCTCCTCCTTTCCTTTTCTCTCAGTATGTTTTTCTTAGATCAGATTAATTCACTTACTTGGATCGATTTAACCCACTTGATTAGATTTTTTTTTTATCCTTACATCAAAGTCAATTTATATCCACCCCCTTTATGTATATCCCTTTAACATGGTGTAATAACAATACAGTTCTCAAGAGTTAACAAGTGTCATCTTCCCTTGTAGGAATGTAAACAGTTTGCCCTGCCTCATTTACCTTTTTATGCCTCTCTTGAGTCTTGTATTTGAAGATCAAATTTTCAGTTGAGCTCAGGTCTTTTTATCAGGAAGGTTTGGAAGTCCTGTAATTCGATGAATATCCATCTTCTGCCCTGAAAGATCATGCTCGTTTTCTCTGGGTAGTTGATCCTTGGTTGTAATCCAAGCTCCTTTGCCCTACAGAATATCATATTCCAGAAAGTAGATAATCTTTAAAGATTTATCTAGATATTCTTCAAGAAGCAAAATGTTCTAGTCTTTATTTTTGATAGGGTTTGACTGTTGATAGAATTCATTAAATGCAGTTCAAGTTTTTCTGCATTCTCTTGGATAGAAATATCTAACCTTCATGACTGTCTTTGATCTTGTCCAGCAATACCTTCAATTTTGATTTCATTGGTCCTACACCTGTTCTCACATCTTGATCCTGAACAGTTATGAACAGCATCTGTTACCATTTTAAGTTCTCCATGTACTCTTTGCCTTCATCGATTTTAAATCCTTAATATTACATTTAATTTTAAGGATTTTTTTTAAAGCTTTTTTTGTTCTTCTTGTTGGCAGGGCAATTGGGGTTAAGTGACTTGCCCTTGTCACACAGCTTGTAAATGTCATGTGTTTGATGCTGGATTTAACTCAAGTCCTCCTGATTGTATGGCCAGTGCTTGATCCACTTTGCCACCTACCTGCCCCCAAGGATTTTCTTTTTTTCAACCCGTTTTAGTTATATTTAGTTGTGTTCAAACCTGAGTGTTTTTCATTTTCTCAAAGTAGAATATAAAAGACACTTAAGTGGCATGGTGTCTCACGTGCCCGTTGTCATGGGCCAACAGGTTGCATTTACCAATTTCCTGTTGTTAGTCTGAAGTACACTTAAACTTCATTTACCATGGACTCCAGTAATACAGAAACTGTGATAATTTGTGTTCTCAGGGGTTAGCCAAAGGCCATCTAGGCCAATCTGTAGTTGAATAGAAACTCCTACAACACCTGTGACAGTAGTCATCCAGACTTTGCTTAAAGTCGTTCAGTGAAGGGAACCCAATTTCTAGAGGCAGATTAGGTTAACATTTTGGACAGTTCAGGCTAACATTTACTTTTGTGTGATTTAATTAGCATAAAAGTTTGACATACCAGATTAATAGAAAAAAATAAATGAAGAAAGGTTTAAGATATTTAAGATGATGAATTATTTTCAAATGCTGTCAAACACTTTAGAAATAACCATTGATATATAGTAGATATAACAATTTCATATTTTTATAGCGTATCTCTGCTAGGATCTTTTACTAGATAGTGCTTTATTGTGTAGCTTGAGGACTTAATAATTTTGCATTTCCTTAAAAATATTCTGTAGTTCAGGCTTTTATTAATTCATACTGGCTTTTCCATAACCATTGATTTTCATACACAAGAAGGAACTGACAGGAGCAAAAATACTGATTTTTTTTTCTAGGTCAGAAAGTTACAGAATAGATATTTCTATAGAAAATTATTGCTCCTATCCCCATTTTATTTGTTCTAAGGAAGTGTAGTTGTCACCAGAATCCTGCACACATTTTTTGAGTTCTGTATTTTTTTTCTTCCGGTTTGAAATTGTGAAGTGTAATTTAAATTATTTTTGATATTTTAGAGATAGATCTGACTTGATTTAAGGTGTTATTGTTCTTCCTTTAAATATTTAAATCTAATTTTCCTTTTTTTATGTTTCTAATTTCATTTTCATGAAAGGAAAAAGTTCCCCTGTAAGTGGAGGATGGGATACCTCCACGTGGGGGTTAAATTCAAATACAGAACCTGAGAGTCAACCAGTAGCATCCCCTAAAGCAATTACAAAACCAGTTCAGAGGACTGTTGTCGATGAATCTGAAAGTTTTTTCAGTGCCTTTCTCTCTCCAACGGATGTCCAGCCAATACAGCGGAGTCCAGTGGTGTCTAAGCCTCCCACCAAGTCACAACGACCTGAAGAAAAAGTCACAAACAGCTTACAGAAACCTCTGCAGCCGGGACAGTCAGAAACACCTGATTTAACAGAGGCGGAATTAACAGAGTCTCCTCTTCTGGCTGTACCAGAGGACTCGAAAAGCTGTCATGTTTCCTTGGAGAATCTGGAAGCAGATACTCCAGCACTTAAGGATGAAGTTAAGTCTGAAGAAATCAGACATGATGCTGTTGAGATTAAGGTGCCAGCTCTAAGTATGACCGTAGCAGAAAGTACCACTGACGTGAAAACTCCTGTGGAAAGAGCACCCAACAGCCAGTCTCCTGTGGTAGAAGCAAAGGATCTGGTTTCGGATGCTAAGGAACAGAAGCCTGAAGATAGACAGAGCAATACTCCCTCCCCTCCTGTTAGTACTTTCTCCTCAGGTACTTCTACTACCAGCGATATTGAAGTTCTGGACCATGAAAGTGTCATCAGTGAGAGTTCAGCAAGTTCAAGACAAGAGGCCACAGACTCAAAGTCAACCCTTCACTTGATGCAGACATCCTTTCAGCTTTTGTCTGCCTCTGCCTGTACTGAATATAATCGTCTAGATGATTTCCAAAAACTTACAGAGAGTTGCTGTTCCTCTGATGCTTTTGAAAGAATAGACTCATTTAGTGTTCAGTCTTTAGATAGCCGGAGTGTAAGTGAAATAAATTCTGATGATGAATTGTCAGGCAAGGGATATGCTTTAGTGCCTATAACAGCCAATGCTTCAACTCCAAAGACTAAGATAACAGAGTCTGTTGAAGGAAAATCTGAAGAAGAAAATGAAACATTAGTTATACCAACTGAAGAAACTGAAATGGAAGAAAGTGGTCGGAGTGCAACTCCTGTGAACTGTGAACAGCCTGACATCTTGGTTTCTTCTTTACAAACCATTGAAGGACATATGGTCCCAGAAAAGGTGACTGGGGGGTGCCAGGATGTTGAAAATCAGCCGGAAGGACCTTCTGAGAAGGAAGATTTTTGCAAGGTAACTAAAATGTGGAAGTTATTTTATATAGTATCTTATATACATTTTTGGCATTGCATAATTCTTGGTGGTATCTGAAATAATTTTTTTTTTCAGTTTACTATTCAGAACTTTCAAAGATATTAACTTGATGGCTGAAATTTCTTGGAGAAGAGTACCAAAGGAATAGATTAATATTTCAATATAATTAAGTTGCCTGACTACACACATTTATGCCAGATTGTCTCTTCCATACAAATGGCTTATTGTGTTGACATTGTTTATGCACGCTAAATAGCATCACATTGGACTATTTCCTTCTAAGTTAAAACCTCTAGCCCTCTTTCCATGCAGAGAGATGATCATGAGACCCACCAGTGTGAATTCTCTAGATATTTTTCTCTCTCATATCTAAAAATTGTAGAATATGTTGCTGTATCCGTTGGTATATTAACAGTGTGATTGACATATTATAGGTTAGAGTTGATAAGTCCATGCACTTGTGTAGAGATTTTTCACAAGAAGAGGCAATGAAAACGACTTTGCTTTTTAAATAAGATGTGCCTGACCTATAGTAAGAAACTGATAAATAGTATTTTAAGATCATAAAGCACTTTCTTCCAAAAAGCTCTTTGATACAGGTCGTGCAAGTAGTATTATTTCCATTTTACAAGTGAGGAAACTGAGGCAAAGAGGTTAAGTTGACTTGTACATGGTTGCTAAATCTATCTCAAACATGATTCAAGTAAGAGAGGTTTTGATTTGTACCTCTAAGCAGAAGAAAAGCTTAATGTCGTTGCCTCAGCAGAAACTAAAAATTAATATATTCCAGGTGTTACTTTGAATAATTTCTAGTGACTGATTCATGCTGATATGTTCTAGAGATAATTCAGTTTCATATTTTTATTTTTAATATAAATTATCCTTTTGACAGGGAATTATATATTGGTTATTATATATCATATAAGGTAATTTATTATGTAGTGGTTAGAATACTTTTAACTGGTAGACCGTATATAAAAGTAATCTTTTCTATATTAACATTTTTGACTCTTACATGTTTAATTTATTTAGACAATTGACCTCCTGAATGAAAAATTGGAAAAAAGAGAAACCCAGTTACTAGCCATTAGTAAGGAGAAAGCAGTTCTAGAAGAAGCTTATGATAATTTAAAAGAGTAAGTAATACTATAAATGAAATATTATCATTAACTTATTTTCAGTGTCTACATGTTAAAACAATCAGTTGCTGTAATTGCATGAAATACTTTGTATATTACCCTTTTTTATATTTTTGTCTTTATTTTGGTTTTTGCTTCATAAGTTAACATAACTAAATTTTCCTGAACTGAAATGTCAGATGACATTGACAATTAACTCGTTTTAATTTTTTTATCAAAATAATTTTTTTCCTCCCTTGAAATGATTTATAAGATTATCTTAGAGAAGAAAGGTATCTGGCAAGAATAGATCCTTTCCTACTCTTAATTTTTATATTCTTTTTTAAGTTGTGTTATTGATGATCTCAGGTAATAATAATAAAAAAATTTTAATGTGTTTATGAAAACAGACAGGCTAAAGCGTAGCCCTTTAGAAAAAAGTTTTGAATTTTTTTAATTGGAGAAAACTGAAATCTGTCACATCAGAAATTAGTTTTTAATACTTTTCAGATGTTATAAGCCAAATGGCAAATTTTTAGTCCTTGGTAAGTTTTCTGTCTAAATTATATTAAATTTATATCATGTAGATTTTTTCCTTTAAACTTCTTATGCCTTAAATTTGCTTTTTTTAAAAAATAAGTTATATCATAGAAACAATGTGACATTGTTGGAATGGAAGTAATTATGTCATCTTTCCAAATGTATGATTATTCTCATTCTTAAGTAATATTTCATATGTAGTGAAATGTTTAGAGTCAAAGAAGAAAGCAATAGCATTTCATCCTTGAAAGACGAGTTTACTCAAAGAATTGCAGAAGCAGAAAAGAAGGTTCAGTTAGCCTGCAAAGAAAGAGATGCTGCTAAAAAGGTAATCAGTGTTTTATTAAGATTGTTACAGTAAACGTTTTAGTGACAAAACTTTTGGGGAAAATAGAAATAGCTTTGGGGTCTGGAGAGATGGTAGATTAAAGGGTTAGTGTTGAGTGTATTAAACTCAAATCTTTGGTCATATGTGTACATGAAAAATTACAACAGAGGCAAAATTGATAGAACTATTACTCTTCAGAACACAGCTTGGTAAGTAAATCAGAGATCTTTCAGCCTGTTTGTATGTAGTAGGGACTTATTACTTGAGTACAGTATACATAAGCATTATGATAACCAGCTTTAGCTTGTTTCGAGAAAGGCTGTATATAAATGTAAGGTTTCATAATCAACCTGGGCTTACTTAGCACCTTCCTGTTAAATAATTTATGTATTTGCCCAAAGCAAAGTAATTGTAAAAAAAAACCATATGTTTCTGATTGGTAGTTTGGTTTATGTATTTGTTTTTAAAAATAAAATCAAAGCATCTTAGAATTTAGAGGTAAAAGGGAGCTTAAAGGTGACATGGTCCAGTTTCTTAATTTTATAGGTAAGATCAAGAGAGGTTAAATGACTTCATTCAGGTCACCCTGCTAATTAGTTGTAGAGTTGAGACTGGGGTGACTGAGCTGACTTTAATCCAGTGAGAAACTGTCTATCTCAGTATTGCCTTTAAATCTGTATTGGGTGTATATATAGTTTCGTCAAGGAGATTTAGACACTGGCAATTTGATATGGGATAACATGCATTTGGATTTTTTTTTTTCATCTTTATAAAGAGATGGTAGGGACTGGACTTCAGATTTTACTGGTATAGGGAACTCCAGGATGAGGCCACACTCCATTAATTCAAGTCAATGCCTCTGCAACTTTTTGTTCTTCAAGAATTGCCTAGAGATTGGCAGATGAAATGGCTTTCCCAGGGTTGCACAGCCAGGATGCTCAGAGGTGGGTCTAGAACTTAGGTCTTTCTGGTTCAGAGGCCTGCTGTCTGGCCACTCTCTTGAAGGTCATGCTGCCCTCTTTATACAAGTGCAGAAAATAGTTTTGTGAAGAAAATCAAGGCAGTACAAACTGAGATGTTCATCTTCATATATACATATATACATCTATCTATCTATCTATTTACTTAAGAGAGAAATAGTTCACGTTCCAACAGTTCTTTACTGTTTGGGTGAAATGACAATCTATTCAGGAGGCGTGCTGATTAAGTGCCTGGCATCTCTTCAGGGCACTGTGATAGGTTCTGGAAACGAAGACAAAAATGAAACAGGTCTGGATCTCAAGGTTCTTTAATTCCACAGAGAGATAGAATGAATGTGTACTGGGTACATGGGGGGAGGGAGGAAGTGGTGGTATCTGAGCATCCTGGAAGGAAAGCAGGAGTTCTGAGAGGCAGAAATGAGGGGGAAATGAGTGTGTTCTCAAAGACTGTTAATGTCTATTTTTTGGTTTTTGCATTTTATATGGCTTTCAGGGCTGTTTTCTTATACTTAGTTTGGGAGTATATGCTGTTTTGAACAAATTTATAGCTTCTTAGGGAAATTTGAATGAATTTAATTGCCCTGGTATTGCATTTGGAAAAAAAAAGAAACGTATTTTGAAGAAAAATGGTAATTTTTAAAAATACATAGATGCTATTTTGTTTCTAGGAAGTAAAAACCATAAAAGAAGAACTTGCAACTAGGTTAAATTGTAATGAAACGGCAGAACTTTTGAAAGAGAAAGATGAGCAAATAAAAGGATTAATGGAAGAAGGTGGGTACGTTCAACATTTTCCACTAACTACATCAGTCTTAAATTGTGAGAAGGAAAAATCCTGTTTTGTATGTGGCTAGCCACTACTTCCCATTAGAGGTTATGGAAACTGGGGAAATAGGGGCAAGAAAATTAGCTTACAGACTACAGAGAAAGATGGGTGTTCAGAGATGCACAGAAGTAGAGCAATATTCAGTTTTCTTTCATTTTTATTCCTAGAGGACTGACAACATAACTCTTCAAAGAGTAAACTGCTTTTTGAAAAACAAAGATTTATGTGGGAAAGCTATTAAGCAGGTTTAAGCCCTGATGTTTGAGCAAAGGCTTTTGGGATAATATTTCTGTGATTCATCTATTATGTAGTCAGTTGTGTGTCACAATGGAGAGAGTGCAGGGCTTAGAGTCGGGAAGATCTGATTGGACAAGTTACTTAACCCCTGTTTGGCTTGATTTCCTCATCTGTAAAATGAAAATAATAATAGCACCTATCTCCTAGGACTGTTGTGAAGGTAAAATAAAATCATATTTGTGAAGTGCTTTGCAGACCTTAAAGTTAAAGCACTGCACCTACACACACACACACACACACACACACACACACACTCTCTCTCTCTCTCTCTCTCTCTCTCTCTCTCTCTCTGTCTCTCTCTGTCTCTCACACACATATGTACACGTGTGCGCGCGCATGTGTACGTACAAGGTATTTTTATCTAAATCATTCCCACAGTTGCATTTTCACAGTGAATTTCAATTAATTTCATTTCTTATTCATAAATATTTCTTTTTCAAATTTACAATCACTTACAATTATGTAGAAATCTATAGGTAACATTGGGATAAAGTTAAAGACTTGTGACAGCATAATTTGTTCTAAATAGAAATTCTGAAACTAGAATGTGTCCATTTTTTGGCCATAGCGACTGTTTTATAAAGGAATAGGTTACCATTTGGTGGACCCTGATGAAATCCTGGCTCCTTAAAGGAAAGACAAGAGGAGGTTTAGAAAGCCTTATTTTAAAGGAATTTTTCAGAGTTAGTGGCAGAGGTAGCTATAGCATTTATCTCTTAGCTTAGTGCTGTAGAGGGAGACCTTTCGATCCTGGGTCATTGATTTAGATCTGGAAGAGAGCTGAGAAGTCATTCAGTCTAGCTCCCTTATTTTGTAGGTTAGGAAATGGACCCAGAGATGTCAAGTCACTTGCCCATGGTTTCACAGGTTTTAGATGTCAGAGCCAGAATTCAAACTCAGGTCCTTGACTTGAAATCCGTTATTCTTTCCACTGTACCATGTTGTTTGAAAGACAGGATTTGGAGTCAAGAGATCTGTATTTAAATCCTGACTTGAGCTTTATGACAATAGGTAAGTCTTTTAACCTCTCTGGGCCCCAGTTTCATTTACATCATTTGTAAAATAAAAATGATAGCCCTTGAACTTGCACTAACTCGCTCACAGGTTTGCTGGGAAAAGGCTTTGTAAAAGTTAAAAACACGATGTAAATGAATTGTTAGTACTTGAGCTTGTTCCTGTTTCACAGTATTTACGCTGCCCCAATCTATTAAGCTGTGCTAGTCATAGAATATAATCATTGTGAGGAATCTAGAGGTCATTCTGTCCAACCTCCTTGTTTTATTATTGAAGCTCGGATCCAGAGAAGTCAGCTCACGTCCCTGAGATCACAAAGACAGTAACAAATCCACAGAAGGGACTATGCTAAATGAGTTTTGGAGATTCTTCATTGTTTTACGCTTAACATTTTTTTCCTTTTCTTTTAGGAGAAAAACTTTCAAAACAGCAGCTGCACAATTCCAACATCATTAAGAAGTTAAGAGCTAAAGAGAGAGAAAATGAAAACATTAGTGCAAAGCAGAGCAAAAAGATGAAGGAGCTAGAAGAGGAACTGCAACATTTAAAGCAGGTAAGGATGTTTATCAGCAAAGTCGTGTCTTTTGTCATATTGGACCTCAGAAAAGCAGTAATGGAAGACAGGTTCATCAGGCCGTTAGTGGGCTTATTTGGGAAGTGTGATGTGCAGGTCTGCGTTCTTCAGTGTGACCTGAGTTTACCTGAGAATGATCATTTACTAAAAGATTAATTTTCCGATCTTTTAATGTAGGTTCTTGATGGCAAAGAGGAGATTGAGAAACAACATAGAGAGAACATTAAAAACTTAGCTGTGTAGTAGAACGACAAGAAAAGGATCTTGGCAGACTTCAAGTGGACATGGATGAACTTGGGGAAAAAAATCGAAGTGCCCAGGCGGCCTTGGATAGTGCATATAAGTAAGGAAATACACACAGCCACTTACTCCTCCTGTCCACCTCTGGACGTCCCTGGCTGACGTCCCATTTTCTTCAGGAAGCCTTTCGCTGGCTCCTAGGAGGGGTGCGAGTTTCATCCCTCTATTAATAATCTCCAGTTTATCCCCTCTATACCATGTGTATTCATAGTTGTTGCCGCATTGCCTCTTCCATTAGCGTGAGCTCCCTGAGAGTGGAGACTGTCTTCTGCCTTGCTTCATGGTCCCAGCACTAAGCGCTGGACCTGGCACGAGATGCATTAATGAGTGCGAGTTGACCATTTGCCTCATTTAATACCACAATAGCAGGACATTTTATAAAGCCATGGCTCTCAGCATTTGATCCCTAGTAACTTCTTTTATAAAGCTGTTACTTGCATAGGTATTTAATGTGTTTGATATGGGTAAGATGTGCCCATTTCAAGGGGTTTTTTTATGCACTTGGACATTTGACATATTTTGGGTTTGTAGTATGACAGGATATGTTTTCTAATCATAAAAAATACGACTTTAGAGAGCTTGCAGATCTTCACAAAGCTAATGCTATGAAGGATACAGAGGCACAGGAGGCGTCTTTAAATCGTGAAATGAAAGTTAAAGAAGAGCTATGTTTAGCACTTGAGAAGGCCCAGGAAGAAGCCCATCAACAGCAAGAAGCATTAGCAATTCAGGTGAGTTGTGAATGATGAACAGGATGGTCCTGTCTTGGAATTAATTTGTTGTTTCTTAACATTAAGAACCTTGTTGACTAGCTTGACCCAAATACTTTAACCCCCGAATAGTAAAATTATTTTACTTCCTTCACAATTCATTAGGACCTATAAATGTATTTGTTTTAATAGTGCTCATTAACACAAACTTGATTGAAGTGATGTTTGCTAATTGCAAAACAGAATAATGAAATTAAATAGTCTTTCTTTTGTAGGCTTAATAAATAGACTCATTCTGAGCACTTAAATATTTGTCTTAACCCCTTTTCTCCGCTTAACACAGCTGTTGTCTTAGTTCAGACCCTCAGCCACCTTGCCTAGATTATCACAGCAGCCCAAAGCCTCTCTGCACTCTAGTATATCCTGCACACTGCTGCCCAAGCAATTCTTCTTAAGCACACATGTGACCCTCTGACACTCCTATTTGGTCAACTCCTTGGCTTCTTGTTGCCTCTAGCATCGAATATAAAGTCTGTTTAGCTTTGAAAGCCCTACGTAATCTGGCCTCAGTCTCTTTCTATCCTCATTGTCTCTGTCTCCCTCTCTTGTACTCTGTGATCTAACCAAACTGGCTGCTTTTTAGTTCTGCATAGGTGACACTCCATCTTTTACTCTGGTGTCTTTACACTGGCTGCTCCATATGCCTACGATATACTCACTGCTATAATGACTCAAAGAAATAAAATAGTATGTTTAAATATTATGGAAAATGGAGAGTAAAAAAATGTTATTGAAGTAATAGAAAAAGGAAAAACCTTAATAGTTAACATTTTTGGTAATTTAAAAAAAATTAAATTTTCAAAAATGTATTTTCAAAATATATTACCTTAAGAATTCATATCAGACTCTCCCATATGGTAATGTTTCCATAACAGGAAACTAAGGGGGTAGCTCAACACTTGAGTTTGAATACTAGCTCTGCTACTTACTGATAGTGTGGCCTGGGGAAAATTATTTTGCTGGCCCTCATATTTGTTATCCTTCAAATGAGAAAGTTGGACAAGATGATCTCAAGTTTCTTTCCAGTTATAAATGTTGTGATTCAAATCCTGGGTCTATAAATATGTGAGTTTGGTTCAGTCATTTTATTTTAAAAACTAGGGATACCTGCATTGCTTGCCTCATATAGCCTGGGATTTATGCCCTTCCAAAGCTTGTCCGCTACTTGTCTGTTCCTTTTGCTTGAAATGTCCCCCCCCTCCCCATAGAGTCCCCTTTGTCGTTGTTGTATTGGAACACTACCCCTCCTTCAAAGCCCAGACCAGATGCCTGTCTTCATTGCCTTAGCTAGAAGTGATGGCCTCCTCCTCTGTGTAATTCCTCTTGTACTCAGTTGGTGCCTTTGTTTCATGCTTACTTGGTGCAACTTTGGGTTAGATTTGGTCATTTTCTTGCTTTTTTTCTCTCACTAGATTGTAAACTTATTGAGGATTGCATGGAACAGGACTTCCACAATATCTTACATAGTACTTCGCACTAGTGCCCTTACTTAACAATAGCAGTTAATAAATGTTTGTTGAGTGAATGAATGAGATTAATGCATGAGAGCATACTAAAAATATGGGGCCTGAAATGTGAAAGATGAAGCAACACAGTAACAATATATGCTAACAGCCATCAAAGTAATTCACATGCTAGCTTGTGTTGATTATTGATGAATGATTCTAACCTTTCTCCTTTGATGTAGGTGGCAGACCTTAGATTGGCTTTGCAGCGGGCAGAACAAGCTGCTGCACGAAAGGAAGATTATTTGCGTCATGAAATCAGTGAACTGCAGCAGGTACTGTGGAGAAGGTGTTTTCCATAAATAACCATTCACGTTTCTCCAAGAGTTTTCCAGGGAAGCCGTGAGTCGTGGCTCATGCAGACATTATTCTTCTCATTTATAATGGCAAAAGGAACTGTCTTTGAAAGGTAGATGACTGTGAGGTCACACATGTCACGTGGTTGCAGCTGGCAGGCTCTCATAGGTCCTTTGATTCCAATTCCTGGACACAGCACTACTCCATTTTTTTCTTGCGACTTTTCTTAAAATTTGGTTTTTCTGTACTTAACCACCAGATTTTAAAAAGAGCGTCTTCATATCATAGAACACAAAGAGAAGATTTGTATGTGAACCCATGAATACCACTTGCTTTTTAAGTAATTAAACACATGACTTTCAAAACTGCCCTGTTTATGCTTGCTTTTGGACTTCATTTTGTTCTCTGAATATAAAAAAGTTTCATTGGCTTTCTTTTTTCTTTTTCTTTTCTTTTTTCATCACCTTAGCTGTTCTTCTCTAATTAAAAATAGAAGAAAAAAGTCATAACACATAAGCATAGTCAAGCAAAAAAAAAAATCTACACAGCAGCCACATCAGAAAACATATCTCATTCTGTACCTTGAATCCATCACCACTCTATCAGGAGGTGGATAACATTTCACCATAGTCCCTCTGTAAATATGGTTGTTCATTGCTTTGATTAGAGTTCTGAAGTCATTCAGAGTCATTTTTCTTTATAGTGTTGTCATCTAAATTATTCTGCTGCTTCTGCTCACTTCATTTTTAATCAGGTCATACTTCCCAGGATTCTTTGAAGTCATCTCTTTTGTTATTTCTTACCGTGCAGTAATATTCCATTATTTCTATATCACTGTCACAGTTTTCAGTTCTTTGGATTTTTTTTACCCCTTTTTAATCCAACCTTTAATCCAATTCAGGAAATTTTCATTTCCTTTTATTCATTCCTAGAAATATTCCTTCTCTCTGTATCCCTTTTTCTCTGTTGATGTATTTCTACACCAAACTCAGTGTCCCAGTGTGTTCAAACTTCCTTTGTCCACTTCAGATAAGAATGAGGTTCATCTGATGTCTATCCCATTCACCTTATCCTCCCAAGTTTCTGTACTTTTCTTCTCTTATAGTGCAACATGAGATCTACCCTGTTCTTTCTCTATCCTATACTAATATATTTTTCTTTTATCTTCCCTTTTCTTCCTCTTTTAAAACTCTCAGAACAGAACCAGAGAACCCCAGGCCATCTGTTTTTCTTACTTAATTTCCTGAATAACCTTTGAAGACATCAAGGTTTTAATAGTAACACTTGTTTCTTCTCTACTTATTAGAATGTTAACATTACATTATCTTTCAGGTCCTTTAAATTGCTCAAATGTACCTTTCTAGCTTTCTCTTGACTCATGTTTGCATTTCAAAGTTCTTATTCATTTTCTGGTCATGTGATCAAGCATGCTTGAAAGTCCTTTATGCCATTAAAAGTCCATTCCCCCCCACGGGATTATATGTTCATATTTGTAGGGTTAATAATACTTGCTTGTCAGCTTATAGCTTGAGCCCTTTGGAATAGTGTAGTCCAAGATCTCCTCTAGTTTATTGTGGAAGCTGCCAGGTCTTGTATGATCCCATCTGTGGTTCATCTTGTACTAAGTGCCTCCACTTCCTCTACCTGCTCTTCTAAACATTCTGTATTCTGGCTTCTGATTCAGCTAAAACTGCTCTCTACAAAGTCATTACTGATCTTTTAATTGCCAGATCAACTAGCCTTATCCTTCTGTACCTCTCTGTAGCATTTGATACTTCTGATAACCTTCTCCTGGATGCTTTTGACTTTCTAGATTTTCATGATTCTAGGTTCTCAAGTGTGGCTCTTTGACTGAATCTAAACTTCATAGAACAAATCCTCTTAATAAAAGGATTTGTTCTGTGAGGTTTGGATTCAGTCAAAGAACTGCACTTGAGGACCTAGAGGGCCACATGTGGCCTTGAGGCTGCAGGTTCCCCACCCCTTTCCATATTTCTTATTACTGTGAAAGGGAAACATCATTCACCCAGTTAGCCGGTTCTTTCAGCTTCAGCGTTATCTTCATGTCTTCTCTCACTCACCCAATGTATACAACTCTTCTCAGATCTTGCTCTTCTTCACTCAGACTTCCTAGCTTCTCTGAATTTCTTCTACTCAAATCTAATTCCACCTTTTATAGGATGCTTTCCTAGTCCCTTCTGCAGGTAGTCCCTTCCCTTTTAAGATTACCTTCCATTTTATACCATGCTATAGCTTTCATGTACTTAGCTATACATGTTGTCTCACCATTAGAATTCTACACTTATGGGACCAGGGTTTGTTTTTTTGCCTTTTTTTGCACGTAACAACACTTATTAACTCCTTGTTGACTAACTGTGTTCTTTTTCTTTTTATTTTACCCTCTGGCTTTAATAGATGTGGATAGTTTTCACTGATTTGTTGAAATATATTATTTAGGCATTTTTAAAAATCATGTTTTTTAGGGATTTTGATGATTCCTAAATTATCTCTTCTTGACTTGCTTTGATTTGTTTTGGATAGCAGATACTTTACATTTTCTTTTATTTCTAGGAATTCCAAAATGCTGCATAACTATGAAGGGAAAAACTAAGCAGTGAAATGGAGAAAAAATAGGATACTAATGAAAAAAGAGAATTAACATCGTATACTATGTGTCAGCACATCAAGGACCTATGATTTCATTGATGTGGGAATTCCAGGGACGCAGATCATAATCCATCTCTATCCTAGAGTTTTAGATTTCATTCTAATATTTCTTGCTGTCTCATGGAGCCATTGATCTCTGTTTGGTCTATTCCAAGTATCAGGGAGTCTGTTACTTTTGGGGTAAGGTTTACCACCTTTTATTCTGAGCTATTTAGTCTTCTAGTTTTTTCCTGAAAAGCTTTTGCTTTTTATGTTCTGCTTCATTTTTTCTAGGTATTCTTGTCCATGTGGAAAGTTCATTAATTTTTTTAATCTTTGCTTGCAGTTGTTATTGAGTTGTTTTCTCTTTTCAGGCTGGAATTTTGGATAGTCCTTTATTTACGATAATTTTTCCTATCATAGTGTCTTCTGTTTACTCCTCTCTGTAGCCTTAGTTCTTGAATTGGGGATTTGTGCCGGAATCACGCTCTGCCCGTTGCTGTTCATTTAGGTATGATGTGGTTGTTGATGGTTGGTTTTGACCTGGGTCTCACTGGTTTCACCTCCATCTCTTAGGGTGTTTCTGTGCTAAAAGCAACAATAGGTTTTAGGTTCCCATGGATTTTTGAACTTTAGATAACTGGATTTTTAAGGGCCATCTGATGTCTCAGGACAGAGTACTAGGACACTTGGAGTCCTTAGGCCTGTTTTTTTGTGTGCTGCTTCCAAGAGTCATGCTAGCTCTTTGATCTGGGAGCAGCCCTCTTCTCATGTTGCCTAAGGTGATGGGTGTTTTTGCTTGTGTTGGAAGTCTACCATCTTTTTCAGGTGTGCTTTTTCTGTTCCCTTTCCAAGGATTTTGACTTTTTGGTCAGTTAGTAGGGTGGATGTTAGTAAAGTTTCTCACTGGATTTCTGGATCATTATTTGCTCTGCTGTTACTTAATGTGTTTGTTGGAATAGGTGTGTGGGTGCTGAGTTGTCTGCCTCCCAGGTGGTCACATTGGCTGGATGACTGAGTACCTTGTGGCTCCCTCTTAAATAGACTTCATGCAATATTTTTGGAATGAAGAAGAAATTATAATATCATTTCTTCTGTTGCTAATATGAACCAAAGGATGTTAGCTCTGTTTTAAATTAAAAAAATATTTTTTTCTTATATTTTAAGTTCTGAATTGTCTCACTCTCTCCCTCTCTACTTCATACTAGAGAGGACCACCATTTGACACAGATACATATATAGATAAAGATATGTAGAGATACAGATATATGTAAAACCATGCTATGCATATTTGTATTTATCATTTTTTTCCCTGGAGGTGGATAGCAGCTTCCAGTTCATTCATAGGTCCTTTGTAGTTGATTTGAATATTTATAATACTCAGAATAGCTTAATCACAGTTATTCTTTGAACAATATTGTTGTTACTGGATCCTGTGTTCTCTTGGTTCTGTTCATTTCATTCTTCATTATTTCATGCAAATCTTTCCATGTTTTTCTAAAATGAACGTGCTCATCATTTCTTAGAGCATAGTAATAGTTCATCAATATTAGCTGCCTTTTAAAATAAATCTCAGAAAACATTTTGTTTCAGAAGAAATGGCTATATTGCTGCAGAATTTTAGTATAAATATTTTAACGTGCAGATAACTGCTTTATCTATAGCATTATTTACTCTATGTCTCTTATTGTCCATCCTTTTGTATATTGTTTTCTGAACACTCTATATTAGATAGGCACAGAAAGAGTGAAACTCAGATTAGTTCATCTTTCTGTTTCTCTAAATTCTTAAAAAGACTTAGATGAGGAAACATGGGTATAATTCATTAGCAGTTCAACAAACATTAAATATCTGTGTTATGTCCAGAAGTTGTTACTACTAGATGGTGTTCTAGTTAAGAGTGTCATAGAAAATACTGAGATAAATAAAGCATTGCCCACTCTCATGAAGCTTAAAGTCCCGTTGCTGGGATAGACAGACAGACAGACAGACACACACACACACACACACACACACACACACACACACACACACACACACACAATGTAGACTAGAGCTTGATAAGTGAACAAGCACCTCATACATTGGAGTCATTTAGTTTGTTAAGCTTGAGAGGTATAAAAAACTATCTTATGAAATCCAGGGAAGGCAAGAAGTCCGCTGTCAAGTATGGGAAATCAGTGAAGGAAAAGATACGTGTAGGAGGTAGCATTTAAGCTGAATTTTGAAGGATAGGTAGGATTTTAACAAGTTCACATGAAATGGGAGGTCATTTCAGCCATAGAGATTAACATGAGTGTGGCACTTCCAACTGGGTGTCCCATAGGCACCTCACATACAACATAGCCTCAGACAGAACTCATCACTCCCCCTTACTCCTCAAACCCACCTGTCTTCTGTACTTTTCTATTTCTCCAGAGGATTCAGTGATCCTTCCATCATCCACATTCCCATTGTCGGTGTTGTCCTTTACTCCCCATTTTCCCTCACCCCACGTACAGAATTAGTTGCCAAGTCTTATTGATTCTGCCTTCCCACCATCCATTCCCTTCTCTTCCCTTTCACAGCTACCAAGCCTACTTCGGGCCCTTCTCATCTCTCAGCTGGATTTCTGAAATAGCTTCTTGATTGCTCTGCCTGCCTTAAGGCTTTCTGTTTCCAGTCCATTCTCTGCACAGCTGCCAGTGTGCCCAAAGTACATGTTAGACCTTGTCAGTCCCCTGATCACTAAACTCTTGTGGCTCCTCTGTTTGGCCCATTACAGCCTGGCAACAACTCATCTTTCCAGCCCTGTTGATTATCATTCCACTCCACAGACTCTTCAGTTCCCGGAACTGAGTGCTTCCTGCCTTTGACATGTCAGTGCGACATCCCCTCGCTCCATAACTTTGCCGGGTCTTTCTCCCCTGGAACATGCTTGCTTGTCACTTTCACTGTCTAGAATACCTAGTCTTCTGAGTTTTACTGAAGCATCATCTGATTCAGCCCTCACCTCTAGCTGCTCGTGTGACCTCAAAATCACCTTGTATTTTTTTTGTATATTCTTGTGTATGACATATATTGTGTAGCAAAATGCAAGCTTCTTGAGGGCAGGGACTTTTTCATTTGTTTCTTTATGTCCGTGGTGCCTAGCACAGTACCTGAAGTGTGGTTGGTGCTTACTAAATATTTGTTGATTGGTTGATTTTTCTTAGAAATGAAGGTAAAGGCAGGAGTATGTAATGATGCTGAATATTCTGAAGAATTGAAGGGTTGTGTCTATTGGTCTCAATATTCTTAGCAAAGTAGTCTAAACATATGCTGTTGGTGTGGGGCTTGTCAGTGTGAAGGGAGGAGAAAGGGAGCAGCCTCTATAGGGGGTGAGCTTAGGTAGCAAGATAACCTCATTCTGTTTTTTATTTGAATGCTAGACATAGAAAGGACACACAGTTGTGTCTCCCAAATGTTGTTTATTGGGAAAAGTTTGTTTTAATATGTAGAAATTTTCTTGTGAAGTTTAGTAATGTTTCTTATGCATTTTATTGATAAGTGGTAATGACATAAGAATGTCATAACTTAGAGACTCCAGGAGGCAGAGAATAGGAACCAAGAGCTAAGCCAGAGTGTTACATCTACCACAAGACCATTGCTTCGACAAATAGAAAATCTACAAGCAACTCTGGGAGCGCAGACGTCATCGTGGGAGAAGTTAGAGAAGAATCTCTCTGATAGGCTTGGTAAGCGACTTTGAATTTTATGATGTAGTTAACAGGTTGTAAAAGTTTGAGGGAAATAATAAAATGACAATGAATGATCTAGATTAAATGAGTGGAGCTCTCAGAAGATTTCAGTTTATATATTGCTTCGGCGTTGTGTATAGTTTGCACCAATTAATGTGGGCTCTGCTAGGTGGGAGGCAGTGGTGCTGAAACCTAGGATCCCCTGAGGATGATATCCAGATGTTTTAGAGCCATAAGGGGTGCACAAGCATGATACGTTATTTTTTTATTCATTAACATTTCACTTATCAATGCCTGTCTCTTACTATACCTTGGATCTGTGATTTCAGCAGTGTAGCTACTCCCTGAACCTGTGCACATCATAGTCTCTCATTGCACTCTCATCCCGAGAGCGCCTTATCTGCATTTTCCCGGAGAGCTGCTTCATGGGGTTGCCCTATGCAGTGCCCCAGAGGCTTTATTTGTGTGCTTTTCATGCCTTAAGATTGCCATTGGGTTGTGTGCCTGCTGCCCTGTTTATTTGGCTAGCTCACGTTCTCTGATCTGAGAGGGAGAGACTGAACCTGTTATTTCACTGTTAAAGGAAACTTCCAGATGAGGTGAATCCCTCTGCTGTGCAGGGCAGCTCTTTCTCTGTTCTCAGAGGCTGAGGAACTTGGTCAGGGTCACATGGCCAAGTGTGTATCAGGCAGTTACCTAAGAGAAGTCCAGTTTCATTTCTTCCTCCGATGCACTTCCATGTTCATTGCCGGGATTTACTGTGTTACCTTTAATTATTGAAAGAGCAAGAAGGCTTTACAGCTATTACGGCATTAACTTGGTGGTATAAAATGAGAATTCACTGTAACTGACATTGAAATTTTATGCCTAGTTTCTCCATTTACCTTTGCAGTTAATATCACATAGATAATTTTCCTGTCCCTTGCACTGCTTTTTTCCCTCTTACATCTTGCCACTTGCTATCTCTGACCTGCTCTTATACTTGCAGAGCGTTCTATGCACTTGACAGTCGGCGTTCTAGTTGCCGTCTCTAGGGTCTGACTCTCCCAGCTTGGGTATGATTTGGCAAGGCCTCCAAAGGCTGAGAGGGGAGGAGGAGTCATGTGCGGGAAAGTTATAGTTACAGTCTTACTAGTGGAGCTAAGTCTAGGGACACTCAGAATCAGGCTGTAGGAGGGGAGGACTTTTTTGTTATACTTTTGACAAAGGAGCTGTAGGTTATTCATACTCTCTGTGGATTTGGAAATAACATTTTTTATATATAATGTGTATATATGTGCACAGAGGTAGCATATGTATGCTGTACATGTTATGATGATACATTTATAAGTTGAATTTCACTGTACATACCCATATTATTCGTGGCATTGGCTTAGAATAGATGTGTTATATGAAAATTTGCTCTGGTGATTTATGGAGGATATATAATATTGAGGGAGTGGTGAAATGCAAATTTACTTACAGCAATAATGAAGGAAGTACCCTTTCAAAGTGATTGTCCCTGGGAGAAGTATGGTAAATAGAAATATAATTAATGAATTTATAAATTTTTCTTTTATTTATGGTCATTAGTCCTGAACTAGGCATGCTGTATGTAACTCCTATATTTAGAAATGTCCTTTTGCATCTTAAATTTTTTAAAGTTAGAATCTTGATAGTCCAGAAACACTAGAAAGAGGTGGCTATTTTCTTTCATTTCTTGTCATCAGGTGAAACCCAGGCCTCGTTGGCAGCGGCAGTGGAGAGGGAGCATGCTGCTGTTGAAGAGCTGCTTACTAACAAAATGCAGGTGTCTTCCATGGAGTCACAGAATAGCATCTTGAGACAGGAAAATAGTAGATTTCAGGTCCAGCTTGAAGCTGAGAAAAACAGACTACAAAAACTGGAAGATGAAAACAGCCGGTGAGCATCATCTTTTTGAGTGAAGCTTTTCTTGAAAAATCAGACATGAAACACTGAAGAGTGACAGCATTTTTTCGAAATGCTAACTAACTTTTGAAAGTTTTTTTTTAAATTTTTAAAAAAATTTTTTAGGCAATTGGGGTTAAGTAACTTGCCCAGGGTCACACAGTGAAAGTTTTTTTTTGTTGAGGTAGCAGTATGTAATCTTGATAAATCCTTTACTTTTTATGGAAATAAAGGTAAGACCTACTAATTTATAGATCTAGGGAATTCCTAGACATAGAAACTCTTTGTGCCAATGCCCATGGGACTTCCTTACGACCTTCTAGGTGTGGAGCATTGCCCAAAGCTCTGAGAGGTTCACGATTGTGTCTGGCTCCCGCAGCCTGGATCTGGCAGAGTAGGGTCTTCCTGGCACCCAAGCCAGCTCTCTCAGTCCCAGTGCATGTGCTGCCTCATGTTTTTATGTGTTCATTAATGCATTTAGAGAGGGCAGTGAGGTAGGGCATAGGTATATTTCTGTTTTGCAAGAGTTTTCAGAAGTACCAGTTGAATCTTCTAAATAGAGCTCTCATTTTTAGAATTTCAGCTTAATCATTCAAAAGTGGCCTTTTGCCAACTCACAGAAATACTACCCTTTGCATAATAAGCTAGTAAGTAAACTTAAAATAAGTTTTTAACAGGTTTTGTTGTTACTCTCAATGTTCTCATTTCCTTTTGGCTTAATAGGTACCAGGTTGAACTAGAAAACCTAAAGGAAGACTATGGGAAAACCCTGGAAGAGGCTCGGAGAGAAAAGGTAGATGCTTTAGGGCTCTGCTCCCCCTCACTGGGGACTAGGTTTGGAGACTGGGAGGGAAAAATGGGAGGAACGGGACAGAACGGGACAGATGTGAAGCTGCCAGAACCCTGAGACTGGATCTGTAACAGTAAAAGAGTCCTGAGTATGTCTTTATGCCCCTAACTTTATCACCTTGCTTTTACATAACAATTTGAGATTTCTTCAAGTAAATAATTTAGTTTTGTTTAATTTTTTTAGACATTATTAAATAGTCAACTAGAAGTGGAGAAAATGAAAGTTGAACAAGAAAGAAAGAAAGCAATTTTATCCCAAGAAATGATGAAGGAAAAGGTACCGCTTTTGTCTGCCCATATCATTTAGTAGAAATTATGTTCAAACATTCATTCATTCTTTTTTTTAATAGTATTTTATTTTTTCTAATTACATGTAAAGACAATTTTTAACATTCCTTTAAGAAAAATTTGAGTTCCAAGTCTTCCTCCCTCACTTGCTCCCTCGCCTCCCCCATCCCTAAGATGGTAAGCAGTTTGATAGAGGTTACATGTGTGCATTCACTCTTAAATGATTGTAGTATTAATGTTGAAATATCCTGCTGCATGACCAAAAGTAACCTAGATATTGCTTTGGAAGCAAGCAGGCATTCATGGAAAGAATCTTGGTTTTGGAGGACTGGGCTCAGATTTTGATTTTGCTGTGTACTGTCTGTGGGTCTTTTGGAAAGTCACTTATTCTTTCTGGTCCTCAGTTTCCTTGTATGTAAAATGAGGAGGGAGTTGAACTAGATGATCTCTAAGGTCTTGTCTGGTTCTGAATCCTGTGGTAAATCCTAGCTGTCAGTGCACCATTCTCATTCACAATATATCCAGCTTGAGCTTAATCAATAACTTCTTGAATCTGGGTGGTATGTAGCCCTTCCCAGTGAGTAGCATTTTTGTTCTTTTGTTATATTGGTGAAATGAATTGTGGCATTATTAGAGGCTATTAGTGGTGAAACTGAATTGTTAACTTGTTGGCTATGGAAAGTATTAATTTGAATTTTCCATTTTTAGTTGAATGATTAATACATTCTTACTAGAAGGTCAGAGTAATCAGGTATATGTGAATTATCTTATGAAATTGTTTGGAATTTTAAAACTACTTAAATAAACTGGCATATAACCTTCTAATGTCTGAAATCATCACTAGTTTAACTTTTATAAAATTGGTTTTGTTTTATATTTTGTGCTGTCAAAGTAAAACTTTATAGCTGGTTCAACAGAAAAAATTCCTTTTTATCCCCCCCCAAAAAAAACTAGAATGATAATGATATAAATAGATTAAGACCCTGGAGTCACATAAGTAACATTTACTAATAAAGTTTAGTTATATTTTAAAGACAAGAAGATGTTAAAATATATTACTCCTTTGATGATACCACTTCAAAAGTCTTATTTACATTTTTTATGAGAAAATTATTAGCTTTTTTTCATTTCAAAAACCAGACTCTAATAACTTATCTTTCTTGTTTTATTTTTTTGCTTTTTGATCTGAATTGGATTTTTTAATATTCAAAGGAACGTAAGACATTTTCTTTTTCGACATTGGATACTGTTTCCAGCACTCCTACGTTGTCTCGTTCTAGTTCTGTAAGTGGAATTGATATGGCAGGCTTACAAACGTCGTATCTTTCTCAGGTAATGGTGTATTTCTTACTGTACACTTTCTAATCAGAAAAAGGAAGAACAGGAAAAGATTTCCCAATGTGTGCTCTCCTTTGCCCCTCCATTTTCTACACATTCTTGTCTCTTCTTAATCTTCTTGGTATGAGTAAGTTGGGGAATATAAATATGTGCCTGCAGCCAGTCGTACCTCAGGTACATTCTTCAAAATAAAATTCTAGGACATTATAAATAAAAAGTAATTAGAATGGAAAACAGTTTCTTTATGCATGTGAGTTATTTACTCATGTATGGCTATATAATGCTTAATCGAGAGCTCACTATGCTCAGGCATTCAATTGGAGTAGATATTCAAGCCTCTATGAACAAGTGATGAATGAAGTTCATAGAATAGAAAGATTTGTGCATGCCAGAGTCACTGGGGAAATCATCAGAGAAACAGACAGGATTTGAGCTGGGCCTTAAAGAATGGGAAGGAATTGGATAGGTTGAGGAGAGGCTGAAAGGCATTATCACTTATTTTGCCCAAGCACATGGCTTTAGCAGAGACAGGGAAGAATGATTTTTCTGGGATGTGGGCCAGTAAAGAGACTGACTGAATTACAGCTGAGGGTTTGAGTAAAGGATTATTGGGAAATACAGGTTCAAGAATGTCAGAGGGATCTTAGTTTGATTAGATAATAAGAGAGTTTTTAGACCCTGCTTAGCCAAGGGATCAGTGAAGAAGGTGGTTGTTGTGGAAAATTATCTGGCTGTGATAGCCTATAGGATGGTTGATATGGAAAGGAACTTTAGGCAGGAAGATGAATTAAAAGGTTAGATTAGAAAAATAGTTTTAATGAAGGTTTGAGATGATAAGGACTTGGCCTAGGGAATAGCGGTGAGATAGGAAAGGAAGGAACTGATCTGAGACCTTTTGAAGGCAAAATGGATAGGATTAGTGACTGATTATAGGGGATCATGGAGAGGAAGGATGTCTAATGTTTCAAGCTTGGAAGACTAGAAGAATGGGAGTACCAGTGATAGAAATGGAGAAATTTAGATAGGGGGGCCATTTTAGTGAGAAATAGGAGTCTGTCAAGGCAGATGCAGGATTTGAGACAATAATGGCACATCCAAGTGGACATGGGGAGTTGGAACGCGTTTGAAGGGTAAGAGATAGAGATGTAGACCATAAGGAGAAGGCAATAATTAAAGCTAGGAGGATGTGTGAACTTTCTGTGAAGCAGTAGCAGTGACTTGAAAAACAAACATTCATAGCTACTGAGCTGAGAAAGATGTCATTGATAGAGGAAAAAAAAGAAAGAGTTAGGCATAAAAGCCAAGAGAGCGGGGGTAGTTTTTAATTAGAAAATAATCATGTCAAAAAAAAAAAAGAAAATAATCATGTCCTTCCTGGCTCTGCTGAATATATTTGTATTCCCAGTTAGCTATAGTGAGAAAATAGATGATTTTTCAAACATCTGAAAGGGTTACAGAAATGAAATAAAATTTACAGTATCCTGTGAGTAGTTCTTCTGCTATCTGGAAGGTACTGATAAATATGGAAAGTTAGCAGCCATTTGTATTTTAATTTGGATCTTATGCAAGTGTAATTTAGTTTAATTTAATTGAACTGTTTCTTAGATGTGAGAATATGTCAGTGCTTTGTTGCATAATACATTATTGACATGTCATTGTTGAAATGAGAAAAAGGTGCTCAGGGTTCAGATAGAGAATTTTCTTTTTCAAGTATCTGTAATGGTAATCATGCCTTCCTAGAATTTAACACGTTTCATAGCAGTAGAAATTTAAACATATTTTTGAGCCACATATCTGAATGTTTTGTATGGTGTATGTGCATGTTAAATATATATGTGTATAATATAATCTTTTTTAACAATGAATATAGGATGAATCTCAAGATCATTCATTTGGACCAATGTCTGTATCGGTAAATGGAAGCAATCTCTATGATGCTGTAAGAATGGGAGCAGGATCAAGTGTTATTGAAAATCTTCAGTCTCAATTAAAACTAAAGGAAGGAGAAATTACTCATTTACAGGTAATAATCCCAAGTGTATGTCAAATACATGTTACTTTAAAAAACAAAACTAATATAATCAACAGAAGTTCAAGTTTGACTTTTCTCAGAGGCAACCTTGCTCAGAAATAGAATGTATTGGATTTTCTACTTGTAGAGATAAAGACATTTTTGTCTTTTCTGATTTTTTTTTCTTTTTTGGTGGGGCAATCAGGGTTAAGTGACTTGCCCAGGGTCACACAGCTAGTACGTGTCAAGTGTCTGGAGCCATATTTGAACTTGGGCCCTCCTGACTTCAAGGTGAGAGCTTTCTTCACTGCGCCACCTGCCTGCCCCCTGATTTTCTGATTTTTAGAAAGAATGAGAGTGCAAAGTCCAGTTCTTATGCCTCACTGTGGTATGGAGGCGATCTCTGGGCTCTTGAAGCCTATTCGAGGAGAGCACAAGCTGGTTTTGCCAAACTGGAAAGGTTTCAGATATAGCCCCAGCAGCTCATATTGTCTGCTTTTAGGGGACCAGCTTGCTAAATATGGGGAGGCTCATTACTAGTACACTGGCCACTTGGTGATGGAATAGTTGGCAATTGCAACCCATGAAATTTTTCAAAGATTTATCATTCAACATGTGTCAGTGACGGCAGCCAGAAAAAGTTGGAATTCTTCGTTTATTGGCATTTTCTCTTTTAAAATTTCTTGTTGTGGGGCAGTGGATACAGCACCAGCCCTGAAGTCAGGAGGACCCGAGTTCAAATCTGGCCTCAGACCAAACCCTTGACAGTTACTAGCTGTGTGATCCTGGGCAAGTCATTTAACCCCAATGGCCTAAAAACAACAACAACAACAACAACAAAATTTCTTATTGCGTGTCTCTTTCCTTGAAAACACCATCTCAGTAATTTGTCTTTTATGGATAAAATATTTTTATTTGTAGTGTTTGTTCTCTTTGTAGATGGAAATTGGAAATCTGGAAAAAACTCGATCTATAATGGCTGAAGAGTTGGTTAAGTTAACAAATCAGAATGATGAATTTGAAGAAAAAGTGAAAGAAATACCAAAGCTTCGTGCACAGTTGAGGGTAGGCATTTCTTAAGTTTCTCAAATTTAATGTGGAAACTCAAATGGAATACACTGAACAACTTGAAAAATGATTGTTTTAAAATTAGAATAGAAAATTTTAAGGAATATTTTGTATATCGTTTTGCATTTTCAGGTTAGTTTTTAATTATGTGTATTGGTTTTGGTCTAGCACTGGAAAGGCAGTAAAGATTGGAAACCTCACATGACTGAAGGATGGTACCACTTTATATCATTAGTACCAACATTAGGTTTGGTAACACAGTTGGTACAAATCTATCTGTGCTACTTTTTGGTGGGGGTGAAATTTCTGTTGATACCTTCAGTGGGAACAATGCTTGTGAAAATCACTAAGGATAAGTACCATGATTTATTTCATAGCAAGAGTAAATACCAGTAAATGGGCTTAGATTTAACTTAATTCTTGGTGCAGCTTAAGAGGGAAATGCATTAGAAGAGATTATAGTTCTGCTATGTAGAATGATATATCTTTTTTTAAATACATTTCATGGTTAAGTTAATTTATACTTTGCTTATTCTGTCCCAAAAGGAATATGTTTTTTCATGAGCTGTGCTCACACAAGGTAGTGATGAATAGTAACTGGTGTATCTACCTAATGTATTAAAGTTTGTAAAGGGCTTTCTATACCTTAGCTCATTTGAACTTCATAACAACTGTGTGAAGTTATTACTAGTATCCCCGTTTTACAGATGAGAAAACAGACTCATTGAGTTTACATAGCTTTTGCCTGCTTCCACATCCAAATGCATGTCAGTGGAGGAATTTTTAATGCTGATTTTCTTGACTTTTGGTTAAGCATTTTATCCACTCTACCAGCTACCTTGTATCATCCCAGCATTAATGGGATTGTGGGAAAAGTTCTGGTTTGAGAGTCAGGTGGCCTAAGCTGGAGTCTTGGTTCTGTTGTTATAACTGGCTTTGAAACTTTGGGAAATTCACTTAATCTCTCTGGGCCTCAGTTTTGTCTCATTTGTTTTTGGGTACTCTTTCCATCGTTCCAGGTTGCAAGATGGCCTCTGATGGCGCCTCTAACTTGGTATTCTGTGATTCATGGTTTAGTAGAGGGTTACTTAAATTGTTGTGGCCAACACTAGTAATCACCTGATGCTCAGGCCTTTGGTGATGAGGAAGATTGAGCTAGGTTAGTCCATGGGTGGCAGGGCATTCATTACCGGGTCTATACTGGAAGCTTTTCTCTCACTTGCCTAGGACTTGCCAAAGTTTGTGCTCCACTGCCTTGGTCTGGAGCTTCACTCTATGATTAGTCCTTAGAGGAGACTCAGTTTAAAAGCCAGTGTGTTCCAGGAAAAGGGGTGCTTTAAGGTCTCTTCCAGCTTAGATTCCAATAAATTGTGGTAGGTTACAGTTTTAGAAAGGGTGATGGGTGGATATGATGCTTGTCATTTGTAGACAACTAGTACAACTATACAATTGTAGACAATTGTAGCACAACTATAAAACAATGATGGCATGAATCTGATTTGAGACATTTGCTATAATTAAAATGTGTGAAAAATTCATTTTGTAGGACTTGGATCAAAGATACAACACCATTCTGCAAATGTATGGAGAGAAAGCAGAAGAGGCTGAAGAGCTTCGATTAGATCTCGAAGATGTGAAAAATATGTATAAGACTCAGATAGATGAACTCTTAAGACAAAGGCTGAACTAAACTCTGGTGAAAAGTAATTTTACAGTACATCAAAGTAAAGACTGACTATGTAAATGCAGAATTCTAGTAACTTGTAAATTCTATTAAAAGTATTAAAATATGATTTTCTTATAGAATTTAGAAGTTTGAAAGATTGTTTTATAACATGCAGTACTATTTGAAGTTAAGTTATTTGGTGCAATATCAGAACATTATTTTTGGAAACTGTTCTCTCCCTTTATTTAAAATTAATTTTAAAAACACCTGATTTTTATGTCTTGACCAACATAGAAGTTGATTACTTTGCCCTTATATCAGCAAATCTGTCAGTGAAATGTTAAAGAAGAATATTATCGAATGGAATTCATATATATATTGTAGATATATGATACAAATATATCTATAATTTATATGTGTGTATATAATGTATATGTTGAGATACATTGCTCATTATAGCCTTGGAATCTTTCACGTGATAAATCTTTATATCTAATCTGCCACTCATGAGTATGTACATACATGTTGGACTAAAAAAAGTTACTGACCTTGGGGTATGTTGTTAAATATTGCATTGATTTTTAGAAAGTATAAATCACAAAGACTTGCTGTCTGAAATATAAAGGGCAGATAATTCAGACGTGGCTTTTCTTTTTTGATCTAAGCATGACTCCAAGTCTGCTCTCTGGTGAATTTCATGTTCTCAGGCTGACATTGGCATTCTCACTTGACATATGGAGGAGTTATTTCACCAAAGTAATAGGATTTAGTTCTATAAAAATGTCCTTTTTTTGTAGCCAGCAAAAGAGTGCTCTAGCTATTTTACATTTGATTGAGCAGAAATTTACCTCCATAATTTTAGTTTTGTGCTTGAAAAAAGTTTCATTTAAATATTTTTGGAAAGGAGAGACTGTTTTATAGCATTACTGAAAATAAAAAGTAAATTCACTTATTACAATAATTGGTTCTTTTAGAACTATCAGTGCTCTAATTCTATAAAGCAATATTTTTGGCACTTTAAAAAGTGAATATTTGAAACAATAGAACTTTAAAAATTTATAGAAGCCATTTTAGTTTGCTATTAATATAAATCCATGTTATTTATAGTTTTAATTTATTTTGTAAAACTTTTATATTAAACTTTATTTTTTGTTATTTTTCTTCTATATTCCAAAACCAATTATGTCATAGGTTGTTTTTGACCTTCATTCTTTAAATTTAAACTCTTTTGTGATTTCATGAAGACAGTGTGGATCATTGTCATTTTCCTTTTATTTTGAGTGACTTAATAAATAACCATCATTTTTCAATTCTGTTTTTGTTCAGAAAACAGCCAGGTGAAGTTTTAGATCTGTGAAATGGTCTGATGCATTGATGTCACTGGCCATCTGGTAACTTACAATTGTGGTTTTTTCGTATAATTTTTAGTTAAATTTGAAATTCTAGCAGTTTACTGTCACAGAGAACCTTGTTGCAGAGCTTTTCCAGGGTAGCTACTGGCGACTTCATTTGTTTTCTCTTTGCATTCCAGACAGCAGCTGTGTCACTTGGGCTCTGATTTGTAGCACTAATAAACATTCTTTCAATGTGAGCTATACTAATGAAATTATATTTCTTGTGTTTTATTTTACAAAGCAATCTGATTTCTTTTGGCAAATGTGGTAATGTGAATATTTAGGGGCAAAATACTATAATTACTCTGAATGAAATTGAAACTATAGAATCTTATGTAACAGTCCAGTTACATTATTTTTCTTTCTAGATTTGGCCAGGAGAGAAGTACAAAATAAAATTTAGAAAGTTAAGAAGTTGCAAGATTTTTGAAGAGTTCAGAAGTATAATATAAGAGTTTAAGAATTATAAAATTCTCTCTGAAAAGGTTCTTTATAAGTGTTGTGGGTGGAAACAACCCAATAACCCATTGTATAAACCCAGTCAACAAATCTCTGAAATAAGGAACGTTTCCTGGGAAAATTAAAATGAAACACCTATGTATACTGTCTTTCTTAAGCATTCCAGAAATTAAATTTTAGTACTTAAACATTTTAATAAATGAATATAAGGTATTGTTTGATAGTTTAATCATATCCTTGTTTAATTTTAAATTGCCAGATAAATATATGTCTGTATCACCACTTATTCTTTATCAAGTACTGATTTAATAATTTTGAACTTTGAAATGAAATCATTTATTGACAGAATAGAATACACTGTTAGGAAATTGAACTCTTCTTTAATTGTAAAAAGCGCTATCTAGAAGATAATTGGATTTATATTTTAGCCTATAGTAAATACTGTCCAATTTGATTTTCCCACTAAAATATTTATGTTTTCTAAAATAAAAAGATTCTAAATTTACAAGCTGAAGAATAGTCCAAGTTAATATCAGCAGTGTTCTTATATCTCTGTGTTATAAAACATGTTTTGGATTCCCTGGTAGATAAAAGTTGAGAATGACTTGTAGCTTCTGGCCCTTTTCTGTCCTGTTCTTTTAAGGATGAGTGCTGCTTTTGAAATAAGATATGTAATTCTATACTATAACTTAAGATAGTACAGCTTTAAAAATGGAGTATAACAAGCTTCTATATTAGGTCATCTGAATTTTGCAGTTCAAGGAACAGAGAAATAAGAATCTGACGCTTACTTGAATTGTGAATTAGGTCCGTTATTGACTAGTGAAAAACATGTATTTTGAAGTTCTCAAAAAGCATATGACATTAGTAATTTATGGACAGCCACAGAGTAAAATAGGAGATAACTGGAGATGTCCAAACTCTACCATGTGTACATATGTTCTGTTTTTACTTAGTTTTTATTTTCATTACAAATAAATTAATGGAATTTCCCATAGACAAGGCCAGATTTTATCTCCTGATAGTTCATATTTTTTTAAGAATTTAAAATGATTCAAAATATAGCTTAGTAGAAGAGGTTGCTAGTATTTTATTTTGAGTTGTAAGATAATGTAAATAACCTATAAAAAGCATGGGTATTGTTTAAAGGTTTTAAAATAATAGTGCATTTCATTTGTAAACACACAAATTAAGGCAGTTCAGATTGTGAGTTAGCTTTGTATGTAGACCATTACATGGTTTAAATTTTTATTGGGGTAAAAAGATAAGTCAGACATTTAAAAATACTTTGTGTTGTGTGTGTCTTTGCTGATCAGTACTATATTTATTAAGCATATTCGTGTTTTGGCTCTTTTTCCCCTTAGAAGCCGTCATTCTGAAAGCCTGCCTTCTTTTAACTCATCAGGTTCATGACCTGCCTGTGGATTCCTGAATCCTGTGCACTTAGGGGCAGTGTGCCAAAGCCAGAGCGTTCTTTTTCCTTATCTTCATTTCCTTTTTACTTTTCCCCTCTCTCTGTTAAGTTTAAGATTTATAGAATCCTATGCAATCTTCGTGCTGGATGGGGCTTCAAGGCCATCTACAGCCTTTGCTTGGAGATCTCTGGTGGGGATGACTATGTACCCAGCACAAATCCTGGCACTTCATAAATCTTGAATTAAATTGAACTCAGCTTCCCAAGGCAGCCCATTCCATATTTGAATAACTAATTGTTAGGAGGTTTTTTTCTTTAAGTTAGGCCTAAATAGATCTCTCTTTCCTGTTTGGTGTTTATAGGTAGTACCTTCTGTGTTAAAATAGAATGAAGTCTAATCCCTCTTCTAAGTGACAGCCCTTTTGGTACTGGCTTTCTCCCCTTCATCCCAAGTGTCTACTTCTGCTTAAACGTAGAGTTCATTCTCCCACTTGTCCGTTGACATCTTGAGGTCTGTCATCAACCTAATTCCCTTCTTTTGGCTGCATTCCAGGGGTTTTTCCTAAAGTGTGTTGCACAGACTGGACCCCAGTCCTCCAGGTGGAGTCTATGCAGCAGGAAGATCAGTTTACACTGACGCTATTCCTGTCAGCCCATGTTTGCATTGGCCTCTTTTGGCTGTCTTGTGTCTTGCTGAATTACTGACTCATACTGAGCTTGGACTGTCCACTAAGATCCTTAGGTATTTTTCAGATTAACTAATTTTTCTCTAGCCATAACTCTTCCCCGATCTTGGTTTGGGAAACACTTTTGGAGGAGATTTTACATTTGTATTAAATTTTGTGTTGTTGAATTTGGCATAACATATTAGTCTGCCATTTTCTTTTTGGATCTTGATTCTGTCTTCTAACATGTTATCTCTCAGTATAATTGTGGCATACATGTCTTTATGGAAGTCATTGACAAAACTGTAGAATACAATAAAGAACCTTTTCAGAGATAATTTTATAATTTCTAAACTCTTATATTGTACTTCTGAACTCTTTAAAATCTTGCCACTTCTTAACTTTCTGAATTTTATTTTGTACTTCTCTTCTGGCCAAATCTAAAAAGAAAAATTATGTAACTGGACTGTCTCGAAGAAAGATTCTATAATTTCAATTTCATTCAGAGTAATTACAGTATTTTGCCCCCAGATATGTAGGGACAGATCCTTGAGGGGAGGGGACATCCACTAGAGACCTTCCACTGGACTTGAGGTCAGGAGAGATCTGGGTTCAAAATCTGCCTCTGCCACTTGGTGGCTATGTTACCACAGGCAAGCTACAGCCTCTATGAGTTTGTTTCCTCATTTGTAAAGAGGACCATGTCAGTTATACCTTTGTCTGAGGGTTATTGTGAAGATTGTAAGTGAAATAATGTATATAAAGTGCTTTTTTTCCTAACTTTAAAATGTTATGTAAATGTCAACTCTTAGGAAGTTGACATCTCCCCATTCATCACTCTTTTGACCCAATCACTCAAACAATCTTGCACCCTCCTGTGGGCACTGTGTTCTAGCCTCCATCTTTCTATCTTGTCCACAACAGTAGCATTGAGAGGCTTTGGTCAAATGCTTTGCTGAAATCTAGGTAAGTTATATTCTTATTTTTGTGAACTACTAGTCAGTAATCTTATCAGAAAAGGAAATGAAGTTTGTGTGATATGATCTGCTTTTTAGAAGTCAGAGGTCAGAGTATTTTTCTTGCATTATCTCCTGCATTGTGATGTGCAGGTTTTTTGATTTGCCCTGTTCTTTGGGGAGGCCTGTGGGCAGGTCCATAAGTTATCATGGCCTGCTGTCTCCAAAGCCAGTTTGCTTGTGTAGAAAGCATGTGTTTCAATATTTCCTTTTGCTTCTCTTCAAAATTTTCCTCCAATTCAGGGTTTGTTTTTTGTTTTGAACTTGATCATTTTCTCATGGCTTTTTCTTTGGAGAGCTTCACTTTTACTGTCTTCAGATTAACTAATTTTGCTAATTGTGTTTTTAAAGTAGATGTTGAGAGCTTTAATATCTGGTCTGGGCTGATTACTAGTTTTTTATGAATTTTGTTTTGAACTTTAATTTTGGCTGTTATGTGGAGTCCATTGGATTCAGCTTTTCATCAGGCAAATAAGGATCAAGTAAGATGACATAGGTAGAGCGCTCTGCCAGTCTTAAAGCGCTCTAAAATGCTTGTTAGCGTCCAGGCGAGATTAGTTCATTTTCCTTCACGTTCATTTTCTTCCTTCCTTCCTTCCGTCAGTATTTATTTAAAAATATTTTAAGTTTCTCTTTGAGGTTTTATATTTTTTCTTTCTGTTTGTAAGATCATTCTTTCTGTTGGTTTATCTGCTTGTGTGCCATTTTGTATTTTGAATTTTGAAGACCTTTGTAGCACTAAAACACAGGAAATATTTTTATTTTGTAAAACACTGATATTAAACTTTTTTTTGGTTATTTTTCTTCTGTATTCCAGAAGCAATTATGTCAAAGGTTGTTTTTGATTTTCATTCTTTAAAAAACTCTTCTGTGATTTCATAAAGACAGTGTTGATCATTGTCATTTTCCTTTTATCTCAGGATTTCTCTTTTCCTCTTTTGATCTCTTTTGTTTGTTCTTTTGTATTCCTCATCACTCATTCTTTGGCACCCCCCTTTCTATAGGGCACAGACCCCCAAGGCCTGGCTACTAGCTTTTAGCTTCCATAGGTTGGGGACTATAGGGCTCACCAAGCCTAGTTCCACCTTGAGTAACCTCCAGGGGGTCGGTGGGGGAGGAGGTGGAGGGTGGGGAGGAGAGGACTGGTCTTAAGACTGTTTTCCAGCCCCCTTTCCATCAGGCCCCAACACTTTCTCTCTAGTTTTTGGCTCAAAGGGTTGCTCTATGCGTCCCATATTTTTTAGCCTAGCAGCAGGTGGGGAACTTGCAGTTTGAGGCCACAGGTGGCCTAGATCCTTAAGTGCGCCCTTTTCAGATTTGGATTCAGTTAAAAGGCTGCACTTACAGATCTAGAAATCCACGTGGGGCGTCAAGGCTGCAGATTCCCCGCCCCTGGTCTAGCAGAATCAGTGCCAGTGGGGGAATGGGAGTATTGTGGTGTTCAGGCAGAGTCATTCCTACAGCTGGGCTCCTGGTTACAAGTCTGCCTGGGTTTGCTGCTATGGTAGCTGTGCTGGAAGTCAAGGTGTGATAAGGAGAATTCTAAATATTAAAGTCTCTTGGTATTAATTCATGAGTTCTTTACCTTCTGTGTGTGAGAGGGTAGGAGGAGGGAAGGATTCTTGTGGAATCTGATGTAACTAATCTGTCTCTGGAACAGAGTTTCTCTTTGGAGGTTTTGAGGTTGAAGAGTTTTGTACAACCACCATCTTGCTTATCATGCCAAGTGGCAAGCTGTGGTCTTGGTGAAGCCAGGCTGAGTCTTAGTGATCACATCTTTACTTTCTAGTTGTTTACAAACTGTCCGTTATAATAAATTTTAGAATTTTGCTAGGAATCAAAACCAGTACCTCATATACCTATCATTTGCATGTTTGTTTGCAAAACAGGCCTTTTTTTTGGTGAAGTTTTACAAAACAAAACTTGCCCCTCTGTAGGCCTGAGACATTTCTCCTGTTCCCTAGGATCTTTAAAAGATACTTAGACATATGTGTGATCTCATCAGTTTGGAAATTTGCTCCCACAATACAGTTAGTTCACAACCTACATTGTCTGTTCTCTGTGACTCTTAACCATGTCCTTCCATTAGTTTAAGACAGAGTCCAATAAACATCAACTTGAGGGCAAGCGGAGAGGATGGGTGGAAAGCTTGAGGAGAACTGAGAAGGTTTGGAATTGTCAAGGTGTGGAGAGTTGGTTATTGGACCGTTAGAATACGGTTCCTAGACACAGAGCAGCTGGGCTCCAGGCCAAATTTTACACGTTCTCTGGATGACTTTGGGCAGATCATTTCATTTCGGCCTTAGAAATTTCTTTGTGAATTAAAGCTGTCTTTAGTCATATGGAAAGAATTCTGTAAATCACCATTGATTAGAGAAATTCAAATTAAACAGCTCTGAAGTACCACCCT